ATGAGTTCTTTCGATTTGTGTTCCTTTGACATAGCTCATGTCAATGTGTTAAGGTTTGGATTTTTTCTTTTTGGCATTCATAGGCTACATGGGTGGCAGGTGTCCATGTTCTTAGGGTCTTGAATTTCCAGCACATGAAAACATCTCTGAATTTACTTGGATCTTGAGTTTTCCATCAGTCTTTCAGATTTCCTCCTTTAAGCTCTTTATAAATTTATTAGATTTCTATCTATGTCACAAGGTAGGGATAAGCAGTTTTAATTTCAAGATCAGACTGTACATTGCTGGCACATAGGCCAACTGGATATTGTATGTTGACTTTTTGTCCTGAAATTCTGCTGTAATGAGGATTTAGGAAACCTTTGTGTTGTTTTCTTCATATATATATATATACATATATATATATATATATATGTAGACAATCATGCCATCTGTAATTTTCTTTCCTTTTCCTATTGTATTTCTCTGGCTAGGCCTTTGGGCATGCCTTCTGCACACACACAGAATAATACTTATTCTTTTCTCAACCACTTTCTTCCAACTTCTCCTTTCTCAAAGCAGTCTACTTCTTAATTTTCTGTTTTGTTCATATTTTATCACTTAAAATGTCTCCATGTTTACTCTGAAATACTGGAGTATCGTCTTATCCCTCTATCTGCATCATTGTTCATTTTGTATTACAGCATCTTTAAATGGAACCCAACCATAGTCCTTTTGTGTAGTATTCTTACTGTGAGTGAGCCTATGGCAGGGATCTGGGTGGATGGAGTCAGAGCGCAACTTTCAGGAGTGAAGTCACCTTCCTAGTGAGGGTCCTGCAGATTGAACTTAGGTCCTCAGGCTTGACAGCATGCATCCTTATTCACTAAGCCATCTTGCGGGCTGGGCATTATCTGTAGTGTGTGTGTGTGGGGGGGGTCTTTTATACTCTCAAGACTACAAACAGGTTCTGCTGCTTTCATAAAATGGCACACATGTACCATGACACTGCCTTTATCTCTGCCCTTCCTTCACTTGCATCTGGACTTTCTTTTTCTTCTTCCTGCGGTCTCGTCCTGTTCAATTTCGACCCCAGCAGTTTCTCCAGAGCAGTGTCCTCATATGCAGGTTGAACCAATTCCATAGAACTTCCTGCTCATCCTGTTACACTCACCTAGGGTTTGAGTCTGCTGCACCGCCTGCCAGACCAGTTTTCCTGTTGTTCAGATAGTATCCCTTACTTTGCAACAAATGCTCGGCAGTTAGTGGCCCTCCTGTTCTCAGGGTTTGGGTCCTTTTCTGCCTAGTTACAGCAGTCTGAGACAGCTGGCTACACTAGATGCTCCACCGATTCTACGAGATTCAGAGGTTTACAGTGCTCCTCCCTAGGCATCTTCAATATTTATGAATCACAAGGTACTTTACCATATCTTTTAAATTTTTCTCTATTTTCTAATTCAACCAAAGTGTCAGTTGAAATATAGTCGAGAAGCTATTTCTTCCTTTTAGATACCTTTTAAGTCATGCTTTAGATTTGAGTTCATTTGGGCTCTCCAGTCTAAAATTAAAGTATTCATAAGTGTTACCCTGACCACTCAAAACTTGCTGGAGTACTCAGACTTAAAGTCATAACTAGATTGAAAAAAATGGAATTTTTAGTGACTGCCCAATGTGGTCAAACATACGGAGAAGCTCATAACTGCATTTATTACCATGTTTTGTGCCCTAAAATTCTGTTCTATCTGTAGCTGTCTTCTTACTTTACAATCTGTGGTCCAACTTAAACTGGCTGCCAATTGTCTGAAATTGGTATACGGATACAATTTATTTAGGGTGCTCAATATTTACTTGTGATTAAATCACATAAAGTCTTTTTTTCCATAAATGTTGTTGCATACATTTAAGGCATACAACGTGATGTTATGGGCTAAATATGCATAGTAAAAAGGTTGCTATGGTGAAGCAAATTAACATATTCATCATTTCGCAGTCAACCAACTTTTCTGTTTCCTTTGTGATGAAAGCAGCTAAAACCACTTCATTAGTATGAAAATAATAAGCAGCACAACTCTATGACCAGCAGTCCTCAGGTTATACATTCGCTCTTTAGACTTGCTCATCTTGCATGTTACATTGACTCCTATCTTCCTCCCTCCCCTGAGCTTCCCCTTACTCTTTTTTTGTTTGTTTGGTTTTTGTTTTTCGAGACAGGGTTTCTCTGTATTGCTTTGGAGCCTGTCCTGGAACTAGCTCTGTAGACCAGGCTGACCTCTGCGTCCCATGTGCTGGGATTAAAGGCATGCACCACGAACGCCCTGCTAAGCTTCCCCTTACTCCTAACTGTTGCTTTATTCCCTATTTCTGTATACTTGAATATGTTATTTTCCACACATAAGTGAGGACACAAAATATTTTAGCTTATTTGACAGCACAATATCTTCTAAGCTCATTCATATGTAGGCAGAAGGCAAGATCTTGTTTTTCAGGGTTAATAGCTCATTGTATGTATTTAATAGTGTCTTAACCCATTCATTTGCTGACTCAGACAGATATTAGCATCTTGGTGATGGGGAACGCTACAAGGAACATAATAGTGCAGGTATCTAAGAGGCAGTGATATGATTTTCTCAATTTTATGTATGTACTGCTACTTTTAACTCCTCTAGAAACCTTTGTACTATTTTCTATCATGGTTCCTCAGTATTTTACAAAGCAAAGCATTTGTCAATAGCTACAAACCAGATTTCACACAAACTCAACTTCTGACTGCTCTTTCAAAACTTAAGGTCTGCTATCATTGGGACCACATGGCCACTTGGAGCTTGTACTCTGATTAAAAAGGAAACACCTGCTCAGGCTTCCCTGCAGGTAACTTCTCTCTTTTGTTACATTCCTGATTCCACAGATACAGCAGGCTCCTGACCCTTAGAAACCTCTTCTGTGGGCTCAAAGTACAAATACATACTATTGGGCTTTAAGCCTGTTTCTGTTTAGATGCCCGCAGATCCCCCCCATTCCACATATATTCAAATCCAAGCTTGCTATTTATTTTTTAAGTCCAATTTCCTTCTAGGGTTCTTTAAATGGCCCTGTTAGTGGAAGTGTATTTCTACCATCGTTCAAATTAGAGGCACCTTTAGAGCTAAGCTTTCTCCTTTCTCCCTATTCGTTGCTTTTCATTGTGTAAAACCATCATCACGTTTGCGCCTTCGCTCTTCAATGTTCCCAGTGTTGTAATCTTTACATGGGAAACTTTCCAAAATGGAGCGAAAGTGTAAGATCTCTGAACCATGTGCTCAAGAAGCCACGTGCTCACTTGTTCTTTGTATCTGGAGGTATCTTAAATACATATTCACTGTTCAATACGTTAAACACGAGTCTTATAAATCAATGACTGCCTCATACCACATGACCTTACCTTAAACTTAAAACTTTTTATATGCTTCTGTTTTTTTGCAGTTCTTGTTGGTACTTTCTTATTTTTTTCATACTTCAGATTTCTCTTGCAACTACAAGATCAAACAGCTAAGTTAAAATTCGCTAACATCATTAAAATTAGGACTTTTAATGTTTTTAAAAAACTTTTAAATATCGAGGATGCTAGACATTGCCTCTAAAACTGTATCATTATTTATAAAGCAGATCCCACAGGGGCAACTGAACAGCTGCTGAAGATTTGGCCCACTCCTAGGCCAATCTGAATTTAATGACCTACATGTGAAGGGCTCCATATCCAATTACTAATCCTTCCTCAGCTACTCTCTGCCCTGATATGGAGGCAGCTGAAAAAAGAAATGTCCTACTAACAGATCACAAATGGATCCAGAGCGTGTGCCAATGCTCAGTTAACAGAAATCCTTTAGACTTGAGAGATCCACAACAGAATCCTAGCTCATATCCCAAATACAACCGGAGGTTTTAAAGGAAGGCTTCAGTTTTGCCGCTACATTTAGAGACATTTGAGCCTGTAACCATGTTCAAAGGTAAAGCATCAAGAAAAATCCACAACACGGTTCTTTCAATATTAAAAGGGACTTCTATTCAAAAATTTGACAATCTCAAAGTTCTATTAATCAAAAAGGGCAAATTAATTTTAAAAGGTCAATTTACATAACTGCTTAATTTTTCCCCCCTCGGTTGACTTGGTCTATATTTAGCAAAAAGATTATATAAGGTCAGGTATTACAAACGATATCACTGGTGTTTCGCAAAATAGCATAGGAAAACCTCAAAGAACGGAGTGTAAAGCTTATGTTTTTACTAAGAATATATACAAAACATTAAGACTCCCCACTTCAATGCATCTTTATTAAGAACTTCACTTTAAATTTTTTCCGCTTAGGAAAAAACAATGTGAGGCTATCCTCCTTTCCCGATGCTAGCGTATAGTTGAGTAAAAACTCAACTCTTGCCAGGGAAAATCACCTCGTAGCAGCTACTTCGTCCTCCGACAAAACCCACGTTTTGACCCCGCCCCCTAAAGCCCCTCCTCTCTCCCCAATTCTGGAGTTTGTAATTGGCGCAGATAGATGACGTAAGCCGTAAGCGCCGTAACCGGGCGTGCAACCACCGCCTCTGGGAGTTGAAGTTCCTGAAGGAGGACCGGACGCGTGGAGCGGTGGGCACTTCAAAAAGCTTTCTCACCGCACCCTGGCGCTGCCCATCGGCTCCGCGGCCTGGTAAATATGGCACTGCGGCCGTCGCGCGGCTGCTCTTTCGTATCTTTTCGGATGGATGCGAAGGGAACGCGAACCACGCTGCCCTCCGCTGCCATCAGGGCTTCCGGGGGAAGAGGGCAGAGCCTGGGAAGTAGTTGCCTGGTCTCTGAGGAAGTGACGTCATGTGGCGCGTCCCACGCCCCTCCCCACGGCCTTTTTTGCCGCGGCCTGATTGGTCATCCCGGGCGGCGTTCGAGGACGCACGGCAAGCTCGGGGTCGGGCCTGGCGGGCGTGTGTCTGCGCGTGCGCGCGGGTGTCCGGGTTCGTGTTGTTGGGGCGCGGGGGGGGGGGGACCGGTGCCGGAAGTGTGACAGGAAGGGACACGCGGAGGCCGAGGGCCTCCTGTGGCGGAGCTGCTGCGTCGTCAGAGAGCCGGCGGGCCCTCCCGGCGTTGGCTCTTCCCGGGCCCGGCGTGCCCGGCGGCCGGAAGGAGGGAGCCGAGGGCCCGCCGCTGCAGATGCCCGAGGTCCGGGCGTTGCTGGGTGGCACGGAAACACGTGGTGTGGACAGTGCGGCCGTTTGTCCCGACGCGGAAAGACACTAGTGGGATGTCAGTCACCTCCAACCCCAAAGCGTCCTCTAAGACGGGCTTGGCTGCTGAACAAAGGGCCCGCTCTGCCGCGGCGCTGACCGACACGCTCACACACTCAGAGAGAAAACAACCCGGTCCCCGCAGGTCACGGACGCCATGCCGCACTTCCTGCAGCCTGGCAGCCCTCCCCCCCAAAGACCCTTAAAACCACGCGAGCTCGGGCTGCTTTATCCCAGCCGATGTCACCACCGCCGAGGGTTGTGTCCTCGGCCGGCCACGATGCGTGTGTGCTCTCTCCACACCAGATACCCTTCGCCGGCATTAGTCAGTTTTGCAATCCCACCTGGTAGCCTCTACCCATGAATTAGCCACCCATTTAAGAAAAGAATTGTGCTACAGTAAGGTTTCCCGCGTAGGTTCTAGGCTTTCTCTGAAATACTTGCTTAACTGGGCTTAGCGAATGAAAAAGAACCTTGAGCACCGCTGCCGGTCCGGGAGGAGTCCCAGACTCTGCCGTAGAGACTCACGCCATGAGCCAAACTAAAAGTATGCTCCGTCCGGGAGGAGTCCCAGACTCTGCCGTAGAGACTCACGCCATGAGCCAAACTAAAAGTATGCTCCAAAGTGCCGCGGTTTGCATAACGGATAATTGCCGCAAATTCGTACACTGTGTTTAGTGTATGGTAGACAGTCGGAGAGGAAGCTATCTTGGTCAAGTCTAGCCAAAATAAAGTAGCCAGCTAGTATTTTATCTGCATTTCACGTATACTTGTTTCAGTACATCTGGCTTATTTAATTAAAGCGTAGGAAACTCACCCAGCAGTGTTTTGAGAATCGCTAAAATAAATTAATATTAATTAGGACTAGTTCGTGCTTCCTTATTTTTGATAGGCTGTTTAGAAATGTTACTATTCTGTGATAGGCCAAATTAAATTTAACTTGAAACATTTGGATGTGAAAGACAGAGGCTCCCCCTAGTGTAGGTGAGTCATAAAACGTGGCTTTTGTAAGTATAGCTCAACACGTCCAGGTTTTTTAACAACATACAGAACTACTGAAAAATATGGCCACCAATAAACAGAAATTGAAAATTTGTTTCATAAAATTTTTCCTTTGAAATTTAGTTTTGTTTTTAAGTTTGCATGTTTAATGAGTCTTGTCTTTTCCATTATCCCTATACATTTTGATTTAATGCCATCAGAGCTGGCTGTCAGCAGGGTGCAGTCTGCATGGTTCCTCCTGAATCCCTCACCTGCAAGGTTTTAGGTTACTGGGAAGTGTTACTGTCAGAGCTGAGTTTGAGTCATAATGTAGTTAGCCTTCCTCTTATCAGCAACTTGAGTTCTAGCTAGTATGGATAAAGATGCATGTGGTTAGACTTAAGTGGAGATTTATTTCAGTCAGCCCTAAGAATTTCACATACTGATTACAGAATCAATTTTTACATTTTGCTTTTATCCACAACTAAAGTGATTATAGATATACAGTGAAATTCATTAGAGAAAGAAAACTTGTGTGTATCATTAAGTTATCGAATGTCAATGAACAAAAGTTGAAGATGTGTGTGTATGGTACTTAAAATAATTGTATATAATATGAATCTTAGTATTTATTGATACTCAGATTTAAAATGTAGCCATTTCCACTTATTAATAAGTAATTTTGGAAATAGTATTTTTACTGACTGCTTAATATACATAACTGACCTTACAGAGTATATGTAATTGATAATATAGAGGAATCATAATTTATTGGCTTTTTGCTGACACTCAAGTAAATTCTGACTTTTCACAGTTAAAAATAATGCTAGAATGAATGCAAATTTTAGTGTCCATTTCTGACTCAGGATTCATTCTAAGAAAATAAATTCCTAGATCAGAACGTGTCCCAGTTTTTGCTGTGATAAAACACTAACCAAAGGCAAGCAAGGGAAGGGTGTCTCTGGCTTAAGCTTCTAGCTCCAGTTCATCACTGCGGGAAGTCATGACAGGCTCTCTGGCAGACACTGGAGTATGCTGCTTGTTGACTAACTTCATTGCTTATGCTGAGTTAACATTTTATATGGCACAGGACCACTTGCCTAGGGATGGCACTACATCAATAAACAGTCGAGACAGTTTCTCACAGATATGGCCACAGACCAATATCATTTGGGCAGTCCCTCCGTTGAGCCTTCCTCACGTAATCCCAGGCTGTCAACGTGACAGCCGAAGCTACCTAGGACAATATCAGTGTATTACAACTCTCAAAACATAACTTGCCTTCTGGAAAAACTATGATGACCCTCAGTAGTACGTGTAAACACCATTTCTTCAGTCCTTTATCAGTACTGTCAACGAATGGCATTTAATTCATGTTAAGTGATAGTCAAAGATCTTTGCCATGAATGGAATTTAACTCTCTAAATTTGTATTTTATTACAGATAGAGTTTAACATTTGTTGGTATCTATTGGCCGTTGGGGTTGTTTTGCTTTGTGTTTGTAAATTATGTGTTCATGTAAAAAAATTGTTGCTCTTCAGAAACAACAAATATGTCATCTGAAATGCTGCCAGTGTCTCTTGAGACTCCTAATGTGGGAAGAGAGCCAGGCGTGAGTGACGGTGAAGAGGAGGGACAGAAGCCAGGATTAGATGCCGGGACTGAGCCAGTATCCAAGCGACAGATGAAGAAGCTGATGAAGCAAAAGCAGTGGGAAGAGCAGCGAGAACTGCGCAAGTGCGTACTTCAGAGCGTGCTACATCTTATTCAGGAATGGGGTATCTGGTCCTGTTAAAGGTGTCGTTACAACTGAAGTTAGGAAAAAGTAAGATTGCCCATGTTATCAGCTAACACCGAGCTGCTGTTAAAAGCACACATGCTTCAAATTGTGACTCCGCTATTTGCAGTACTGATAATGTTGGGCTCAGCATCTTTTCTCCCCTAACACTGCCTGAATAGCAGGGCACCTGTTGGAACAGCTGAGACAAGGGAGCCGGTATCAGTGTCCTAGATACGGGATTAAACAACAACACAGAAAGGTCAAACGTTGGTCTGACATGGATGTGGCTAAAACAGGTTTACATGAAAGCATTTAGGCTACAGCCATGTCTAATGCCAAAATTTATAAGAGATTAGAAAAACGTTGGGCTTTTATTTTTGTTCTTTTAGTAAGTTTAGTGAAATTTCCTTTTTAGTATTCCCAATGATTATTGAACTAGAAAATCATTTAGGGGATGAGTTTTGAAAAGTAAAATTCTTCTTAGCTCTAAGTTTTTCTTGGGTATAATATAGTATCAGTAATCAAACTACTGAATAATATATTCAGTTATTCATTAAAGAAAGCTTTATATTTTCTTTGTGAAGTCATGTCTTCCACATGTAAAGTTATTGCATGGAGTAAATAAAGTTGCTAGTGTCTGACTCTTTGCTACCCACGGAAGGGACATGTTTCATAGGGCCATGACTGTCTATAAACATAGTTGGTTTTTCGTTTAATTAGAAGTCTTGTGAATGTCTAAATACACAAGTAAAACGTTTTCAGGGAAAAACGAAAAGAAAAGCGCAAGAGAAAGAAGTTGGAACGACAGTCTCAGCTGGAATCCGGTTCAGATGGAAGTGACAGGAAACGCATTCGAAGAGATGGTGTTCACAGCAGCCTCCGCCTTATCATCGACTGTAGTTTTGACGATTTGATGGTGTTAAAGGTATCACGAGGTTCCTGTATGTGAACTAGGTTAAATCACTCTTACTCTTATATGTAATATTACAGATAGTATTTATATATTAAACTAAATCTAAGTTTTTCAAAATCTCTTACTCCCAAATTAAGTGCTATGATATGTATATGCATGTTTATGTGTATGTTTGCATATTCATAGATAGACATCTACCCATAATTAGGTAGTAAAACTTCATAACTACATGTTAGTCATAAAGATCTATGGAGTTACTGTGATGCACACGTCTGTAATCCTATCACATGGCAAAGTGATGCAGGAGGATCTCAGAGTTTTAGGCCACCTAAGATATGTAGCACATGAGGCATACTTGGTGAGATCCTGTTTTAAATTTGTTTTTAAAAGTCTGTAGCATGACTGGATATATGATACGGCTCAGCAGTTAAGAGCACTTGCTGGTCCTGCAGAGGACCCAGGGTTGGTTCCTAGCACCCACGTGGTGGCCCACAACCACCTGAAACTTCAGTTTCAGGGCGTCTGACCTTCTCTTCTGGTCTTCAGAGGCGCTGCATGTCCATGGTGCACAGACGTATATCCAGGCGTGCAAACACACACAAATTCTGTCTTAAATCTTGCACTTTGCCAGTGCCACTGGGGTAAAGTGTGGAAATAGCAAGATTCTAAAAAGAAGGTTTTATTGTTGTCTGTTAAGAAAGCATCAGCTAGCATTTTGAGTAGATAGAGATTTTAAAGGACAAAAGGACAGATGAATTATAGAACATTAACTTAAAGTCACTGTCAGTATGTAGAAAAGTCAAGGAAAACTATCACAACACAACAGTGATAGTTTGAGACAGGGTTTCTCTGTGTAACAGCCTTGGCTATTCTGGAACTCACTCTGTAGATTAGGCTGGCCTCAGACTCACAGAGATCAGCCTGCCTCTGCCTCCCAAGTACTGAGATTAAAGGCGTGTGCCACAACCTCTCCAGCTGTCCTTTGATTTTAAAAGATTTTTGCCTACTAGCCATTCCTTCTATTTATTCTGTTCTTGTAATACCACAGAATGGCCTTAGGTGATTTTGATAACTCTGTTTTTTAAATTGTGCTATTTTGTAGGATATTAAGAAACTTCATAAGCAGATTCAACGATGTTACGCAGAAAACCGACGAGCATCACACCCTGTGCAGGTGTGTATGAAGGGTTAGAGAAAACTCAGTTGTCTTCCCTGTCTAACATGACAAGAGGCATGGATTGTTGCCCTTACCTGAGAGTCTTAGAAGTTTCTTGTATCATGCTTATTTGGTCATTTTATTCCTACAGAAATACTTTGAACACCAGTCACCAGTACATTTTGGTGTCTGTTCACCACTGTGTAGTTGGGCATCTTTGTTTTAGGACATGTGCATATCTTCACACCAGGTTCTCAGCTTCTGACTCCTTCCAGCCACGTGAAGGGGGAGGAGGGAGATAAGCTGTCCCTGTACCGATGTGTACAGCAGGGCCTCTTAGCTGTGGGTCTTTTACATTTCCTTTTGAGCCTCAGACAGTTTTGAAAAGGAGTTCTTAAACTTAGTTGCGAATGACTGTGGAGACAGTTGACTGCTGCTATGACTCCTACCTTAGACACGGAGAACCAAGGACTTCCCATATGTGCTGTGCTTAGATATGTGTCTTACCAGGTGGAGCAGTGTGGACTGTGTTTTCATATAATTCTCTACCTGCCTCAGTGACAGTCTTTACATACACACACACACATACACACGTATATCTGCATACAATTATGCGTATGTATGTGTACATGCATATATAATTTTTTTCCCTTTACAAGGCCCTCAGCATCCTTGATTGAGATGTATAGTGGTGTAAAGTAGGTGTCAGGGAAGGCTCTACAGCAGCAACAATACCAACAGTAACAGTGGTGGCAGCCCCTTCCCCTGGGAGGGGGATGAAAACTGAGGAAAGGCAGGTTTGCAGCGTGCGCCTCAGTGGCAGACAGGTGACGACTTCTGAAAGCGTGGGTGGGATGCCACAGCCGGGGGTTAACACGTGCCCTTTCTGCCACCTGGTCCAGGGTTGCTCAGGGTTGATGACAATTCCTTTTTTCTAAATCAGTACAAACATTTTGTCTTTCACTGGTCATCAGGTGAGTGATGAGGGAAATAAAATATTGAACTAAACTGATCATTTTCCTTCTTTTTCTCTGTTTATCAATTGCTTATCAGTTTTATTTGACAAGCCATGGAGGTCAACTGAAAAAGAACATGAATGAAAATGACAAAGGATGGGTCAACTGGAAGGTAGTGCAACAGTCCACTCTCGTGACCTTAAGTACCTCTAAGCTCCTGAAAGCCTCTCTGTTTTACCCAAGTTGTCAGTAATGGTGTGCACCAAATCTGTGTGTCACTACACCCATGGGTAGAGGTGTGCATCAAAGCTGTGTGTCACTACACCCATGTCTAAGGGTGTGCACCAAAGCTATGTGTCATTACACCCATTCTAGAGGGCTGTGCACCAAAACTGTGTGCCACTGTTCCCATGTCTAGAGGGGTGTGCACCAAAACTGTGTGTCACTATACCCATGTTTAGGGGTGTGCACCAAAGCTATGTGTCATTACACCTATTCTAGAGGGGTGTGCACTAAAACTGTGTGCCACTGCTCCCATGTCTAGAGGGGTGTGCACCAAAGCTGTGTGTCACTACACCCGTGGGTAGAGGTGTGCACCAAAGCTGTGTGTCACTACACCCATGTCTAGGAGTGTGCACCAAAGCTATGTGTCACTACACCCATGGGTAGAGGTGTGCACCAAAGTGTGTCACTGCTCCCATGTCTAGAGTTACATGGGTGAGAAGCTAAGAACGGAATGAGATGTCTGCTCATTTGTGTTTATTCGCATAAGTCTTGTCTGCTATTAGAGCTACTTCTTTATAAAAGAAATACCTAAAAAGCCTCACCCTAGAATTTGAAAGTGTCTCTACATCTAAATCCGTGCTGTTCATTTTGTGACCAGTAGCCAGACATGGCTGTAGTCTCCTGAGATGTGAGAATCTGGATCTGGAGTCGGCATGTGCTGTAAATGTGAGATAACATGCTGAGTTAGAAGGTGGGGTGGGAATACAACATAGACACATTATGTTAACATATTTTGAAGTTAATTTGTCTATTTTTAAGTTTTTAGTGTGGCTTCTAGCAGATTTAAAATTATTTGTGACTTATACTTTCTCTGTTTTAGGTATTAGTAAAGATGTGGTCAGCTTGGCTCAGTACCAATGTGGCCAGCTTGGCTGGGTACTCTTGTGTTCCAAGAAGTGCTGTGCTGTGCCTGTACATGTTTGCTTACTGTTTGCTTTCGGCTCTCACGGTGTCCAGCTTTCCCCACTAGTACCTACTGATCTAAGAGCTGCTTTCAATAAAAGCAGACATTTGCAAGAAGATTATCTTTAGCAAGTCTTAGGTTCATGTCTCTTTTCCTAAGAAGTAATGAATACATTAGACAAGTATACTTTATAGTTTGTGTCTTGCCAAGCTTTTTATTTACACCCTTGCTTTTCTAGAGAAACACAGCACTGACCTCTAGTTACTCAGATACCTCTTGAGGCCACTGCTAAGTATAGGAATCAGGTTTATAGCATACTGTTTTCCAGAAAAGTAATTATATTAATCGGTAGTATACAATTGAAGTGTCTGCTTCACTTGATTTTCTTTACAACTATTATATAAAAGTCAGGGACTGGTAACATCATTCAAGTAGTTAATGTGACTTGAACATTCTGGGCTACCAGCTCTTACTCAGTCTTGTATCTCTGAACGGACAGTTTTTGGTAAAGAAACTTTCAAGTTTGTCTCCTTGTAGAAACAGACACATTCAACTCATTGAATTGACAGGCAGCTTCCTTTGGGTGATTGACATAGGATATGCAATTGGAAAAGGCATTTCTTGTCTGGAAAACAGTGTGATAAAGAAGGCAGGATGAATGCTTTTTTATTTTTTATTTTTGGATCAGAGATAAAATGAGAAAGATAGGCTAATGCCATATTCAGGTAAGCATTCATATGTTAAGGAGTTTGAAGTTGACCCTCTAGGAGAGGGATGAATGGATTTTAGAAACTTAGCTTGCCATCAGTGTGTGGAATTAGATTAGGGACTGAGGTCCCAACTAAGGAAATGAGGTTAGTAGACTATGTCAGTGAGTGAGCTATGAGGGAAGGAATTGGTTACAGATTTTAAGTGCCATTCAAGCAATAGCCTCTCGGGCTTTAGCTTCACTCCAGATGGTTTTGGACAGGTGTCTTTTGGGAAAAGAAGATAATCATTTTAGCCAGCTTTCTCGGTATCCTGCTAATTAATACATGCATTCTCTTTTTGTTTTTAAAGGATATCCACATCAAATCAGAGCACTATAGTGAACTAATAAAAAAAGAAGATCTGGTTTATCTGACATCAGACTCTCCTAATGTACTGAAGGATTTAGATGAGTCAAAGGCTTATGTGATTGGAGGCTTAGTGGACCACAACCATCACAAGGTACTGTGCTCCGTGCCCACCTAACCTGTGTCTCAGATAGTGACGGAGTCCTCTCTCTTGAGCACCTGTTACTGTGGTGGTGACCTCAGCTAAGCAAAGGACTCCCCGTTCCCTTACCTGACCCTCCCTGCAGCTCAGTTGTTTTTTCCACTTCTCTGGTGCAGGAACAAAGAATTAAGCCTAACCGTGGTGAGTGGCAAAGCAGATTACTGGAAATGACCAGATTGCTGCAGAGTCTGCGTGTTTAAGCTGTGCTGTGTTGCCAGGGGCGCTGGTGCTAATGAGTTGCTAACCATTGAAGTTTACACCAATCTTTAAAAATAGGCTTTAGTTTTGTTTTATGTGTCTGCACCTTATGCCTGATGCCCTTGAAGGTCAGAAACAGATGTCAGGACCTCGGGAACCGGAGTTAGAGACAGTTGTGAGCCACCACGTGGGTCTGGGAAGTGAGCCCGGTGCTCCAGAAGAACAGTGCTGTTAGCCACTGAGTCACCGCTCCAGTTCTGTAGCACTTTTTAAGTATATGATTCTCAATTATTCTCTCTTGTTCTTCTTTTCTCACCCCAAGTTTTATATAGATAAAAAGTTACAGAACTGCACTTTCTGAAGAGAACGTTTTTGTGTACTTTGTAACATGTTCAGCTCATCCTATTTTTCTGAGGAAAAGGTATTTTTCTCTAAGTAAAGAAATATTGGCAGCACAGTGTATGAAGGAATTGTGTATTCTTCTGCAGCAGTGTGTATGTAGAATGTCTGCCATGTCACAGGTGACCACATCTGCCTGACCAGCGGTGGCACATGGCTCTGGAGCACCAAGCTGTAATACAGCAGAGAAACTGGGTTTTTTTTTAATTGTGATGTTGAAGTCGCCAGGTGTGGCTAGCCATTGGCTGAGCAACTCTAGGACAATGAAGGGACCTTCTTGTCAACCTTTCTGTTGTTCTCAGTGGAAAACTTCTAGTTTAAATGCACAAACATTCTCTGCTCACATTGTGTATGTTTCTCTAATAAAATAGTTTTGTTCCAAAGCCCCTGCCTCCTCTGAGCTCATCTCCCTGATACGATAAGTACTTGTTGAAAGATTCAGCTTATGCTTTCTGGATGGACTTATGGGAGCTTTCATTTGGGATAGACATAAACTTCAACCATTTTAAGTTTGAGAAAATATGAAATTTCTATCTAACTGTACTTGATGGAAAGGGAAAAATAAAACATAAGGACCATTGAAATACTTTTCACTCAGGATTTCATTACATTGCCGTTTTTTCTGCCTCAGTGTATGATTGAAACTGAACTTCTTTATTTATTCTCACGGAAGTGATGTGTTTCTCTCTGAATTCAGTTGGAGAGTTTAACACTATGAGAAAGGGGTTGGGGAAGGGAAAAAGAATAATCAGAAAACACAGAAGCTGGGATTCTTTGCTCTGCCACTGAGAGACTCCCTAACTTCTGGGAACTCAGTTTCTTCCCCTCTGAGGAGTGAGGTGGCAATACAGGCTGTAAGTTCTCTCCTGCAGGACTTAATGACACACTCAGATGACGTTAGACCTACACTCTCATAGTGTCTTTCTTTCCAGGGACTCACATTTAAGCAAGCATCCAGCTATGGAATCGAGCATGCACAGCTCCCTCTTGCAGATTTTGTCAAGATGAACAGTCGGAAAGTCCTGGCAGTTAACCACGGTAAGCTACAGGGGTGACTGAAGGTCACCTGAGTGAACACTGTGAAAGAGACAGCGCATTCAGGTTTGGACAGATAGAAAAGAGAAGTCGTTTGTTTATTAGAAATAAGAGTGAGTACTCTAGAAAGTTTTGAGAGTCTACAAAAGTATGAAGACAACTAGCGGTAACCTCATGACTGGCAGATACTTGTTACTAACAGTTCTTTTCCTGTGGCGGACTCTGTCAGCATTACGAATCTGAGGACCCATCCTTCGTCTTACCATAGTTTCCATGGGATTGATTGTTAGTGGCCATGTGATATTCCAGAACCTGAATAGATAATCATTTAATCATTCTCCCATTGTTGAATATTTTACGTTTGTATTTATTTATTTTGCTGTCATGAATAACATTGGGGTATACCATTGCTTATATATAATTCATTGTCTTAAGTTTTGTTTAAATTATAATTAAAAAAAAACTTTGGAGGCAGGGTTTTGCTATGTATATTAGGCTGACCTTGAATAGAGAAATCCACCTGCCTCTGCTTCCATCCTGAATATTGGGATAAAAGGTGTGTCTCCAAGCCACTCAGCTTTAGATTTTTGAAGATTTGTTTTTATTATCTGTGTATGAGTATTTTGCCTGCATGTATGTATGTGTACCAAGTGCATCTCTGGTGCCTGTGGAGGCCAGAAGAGGGAATTGGATCTTCTGGAACTGGAGTTACAGACAGTTATAAACAGCTGTGTGGATATTAGGACCTGAACCCCAGTCCTCTGTAAGGGCAGCCAGCGTCTTCACCACTGAACAATCTCTCCAGCCCCTTTATTTAACATTTTTTAAGGAACAGTTTTAGTATACAAGTTAAGTAATCTTAAATACTTTATATATAGCAGACTTTACAGGGTTAGAGAGATTACTTACTCAAGGAACAAATTTCTTCGAAAACCTTTTTGATACCTTGTGGAAGTTAACTTTTCTACAAAATTATCTAGAAGCCCTCCCACAGTGTGGTGAACCTAGGGACAGTATGGTTTCCTTTCTGCTGATGTGAAAGCAAAAGCAGAAAGCAGGCAAAGGGCCCCTTGCAGTGGTTTTTTACAGGGAAGGTGGAGGAAATGAAGCTGCGTGCTAACCGGCTGTGTTTAGCTGTGTGCTAGCACCTCAGAGATGAAGGGGTGTCCCTGAGGAAGAGTAGGATGGGACCTCAAGTGGCCTTGGGAGGAAAAGCTGAGGAAAACATAAAGACGCAAGAGCCATGGGGCACTTTGTCCCTGATAGCCAAAGGAGGGAGAGGTAAGAACTTTGCAGTAATTAGGACAGATAAGCACAGGGGTCACCAGTGCCTGCCATTTGTCCTTGCGCAGTGTTTGAAATTATCCTGGAGTTCTTGGAAAGAAGAGACTGGCAAGAGGCATTTTTCACAATCTTACCCCAACGGAAAGGAGCTGTTCCTGCACACACAGCCTGTGAAAACTCTCCTCAGGACCAGCAGCCCCGGCCAGAAGGGTGGGACAGCTCCAGCGAGGGAGAGCACTGCAGGAATGACCCCGACTCACCACAGAAAGAAGAGCAGGACCAGCAGGGCAGCCCGGTGTCCTGAGTGAGTTCTGTCCCACAGTGACCAGCCTTCCCTAGCTGTCCTTCCACTGAAGGAGAGCCTGGAGAGTGTAGCACTTCAGAATACTCAGACTACAAGAAAGTTGATGTTTCTCTCATCTCTGTTGTGGAATTCTAAATCTTGTCAAAAGTTAAATGATAATGAAAAACCCTTTAAGCACCAAAAAAGGATTGTTTGGTTTTGTGTAAGAAGACTTAAAGGTATGATTTCGAAATTGCTTTAAACCTCAAATCAGAGTCATGGAGAATGTTAGCATGCCTTCATTCTCCTCCAGTCCCTGGAGTACATTCTTCAGGGTGTGCCTTCTGACCTCTCAGCTTTGTCCTTTTATGTTCCTCTCTGTGTCTTTTTGGTCAGATGTTCATGAATGTTGTGCGTGTCTACTAGAATGTTGACCTTGGGAGGCTGTAGCCTTTGTGTTGAGTAAGTTCTTTCTAAGAAACACGTTAATTCTGGAAGGAGTACCAGTTGTTTGCTGGGTGTAGTAGTTCAGTCCTTGTGGACAGTAGGGTCCATTCCTGTGCCTCCCTTGTGATGTCTTCTCATACTTCTGAAATTATCACAAGAATAATCTTAATTCCTTGATGACAATAATTAATTTAATTACAAAATTAAAGTTTTTCTGGCTAGATTATTTCACAGTGTTAGTCCTTTTTTCTTTTTCTTTTCTTTTTTTTTTTTTTTTTTTTTTTTTGGTTTTTCGAAACAGGGTTTCTCTGTATTGCTTTGGAGCCTGGCCTGGAACTCGCTTGGTAGACCAGGCTGGCCTTGAACTCACAGAGATCCGCCTGTCTCTGCCTCCCAAATGCTAGGATTAAAGGCATGCACCACCAACGCCTGGCTTAGAATGTTATTCTTGAAGGATAGATTTGTTTAAAGTAAAAATAGCTATCTTTTCTTTCTATATATTTTTCATATATATAACATTTATTTCCATGTATGTTAGCTTTTAATGTGAATATTGTACATCTCCCTTCTACTTAATATCCCAGATCATGTAAATGTGTTTCTGTAAATAACATAGGCATGTAGGAAAATGTGCATGTAGTAATGTTTACATCTGTCCACATCTCATTTAGCTCTCGCATTCTAGTACACGGTTACAGGTCTGATGTATTGTCTGTGTAATGATTATGTTGAATGCACTAATGCTCAAATCCAAAATTAAACCACAGTTTATGAACTGACCAGGAACGACGGAGCAGATGGGAGCTGTTCAGCTTCTTCATGGCAATTACTGAGAAGCTTACACAGGCCGAATGCCCTCCAGGAGCTCCTACTGCACTGTGACAAAATCTGTTTGTTATAGAATGTATATGTATGCTAACATCACACTTAGATGGATGCTTACTAGATTTAATATTGATGTTCACTGTCTCTTTTTGTTGCTTTATTCTTAGTTACCTATTGTAGCTAGTTATTTCAAAGTTTATAAACAACGGATGTAAATAGCCACACTGCGGTTCCAAAAGAATAAAGTTCATGTTGTTGCTTTACTTGTCCAAGGTTCAGATTTTTGTGAGATGTTCACCATGTGCCTGTGTTTGAACGCTTGGGCCCCAGCTGATAGCGCTGTTTTGGAGGTTGTGGGAACTTTGGGTGGGTTTATAGCCAATTCTGCTTCTTGTTCTTGTTCTGTTTCTTTTATGAAGATAAAATGTGATCAGTGCTTCCTAACTGCCAGGCCAATTAGGCCTGCCCTTGCCTTGCTTTTTGTCAAGGCATTGTGTCATACAGCAGCAGAAAAGTAACTAACACAGTGCCTTCCACTTATTTTATATGGAATAGAACCCATTTAATCATGGAAGTGAAGGAAATCATTTCAATTACTGTAGTGATATTAATGATTTGTTAAAGTTTGCCTGAGGATTCAGAAAACAATGTCAGCCACAAGCCATAGAAGCCAGGCACACACCTTTAATCCCAGCAGCTAGAAGGAAGGAGGTGTTGGTACACACCTTTATTTAATCCTAGGACTCAGGATTAAGAAATAGACAATGTCTGTGAGTCCAAGGCCACCCGGATCTGCATGAGTGACTCAGTCTAAAAGAGAATTATAGCTCACACCTTTAATCCCAACATTAGGGACGTATATAAGACAGAAGCAAGGCCTCAGAGAGACATTCGTTCTCCAGCCACACTGAGGAGAGGCAGCAGTTTGAGACTTGGTGAAGAGATATGCGTGGATCAGCCGTTTCAGCCTGAGCTAGAGGTGAGAGCTAGTGGCCCCCTGCTTTGCTTTCCTAGCTTTCAGCTTGAAGCTTGAACCCCAACATCTGTCTCTAGGCCATTTATTTTTTGTGTTACAGATTAACACATGATTTAATTTTCGTTACTTGCAAAAGTTCTGTATTGGTTTCCTAGGTGTGCTGAAAGATAACATCATAGACTGAGTGGGCTAAAATGACCCCAACTTATTTTCTACAGTTTCAGAGGTTGCAAGTTCAGAATCAAGCATGATAGGACCACACTCCCAGTATTGTGAGGGCACCTGCACACAAGCGGCACACAAATAACTAATTTCTGGATTATTTAAAGATTGGCTATAAAAATAATACTTAAAGACCTTTCTAAAATTTTTAATGTCTTTTTTTGGGGGGGGGTTTGAGACAGGGTTTCTCTGTATTGCTTTGGAGGTTGTCCTGGAACTCGCTCTGTAGACCAGGCTGGCCTCGAACTCACAAAGATCTGCCTCCCGAGTGCTAGGATTAAAGGCGTGCTCCACCAACGCCTGGCTTTATTATTATTATTTTAAAAATGGACATGGTAACATTTTTGTTCAACCTGAGACATTTTGGAGCATTAATATTTGCTGACAGGACACAAAGATGTGATCTTTCATGGTGTTTTATGTTAGCACTGCTAAGGGCTTCCCTAAATTATACTTTTTTTTGCCCTGTAAATATTTATTTGTTCCAAATAATAATAATAATAATAATGAAATTTAAAAACAAAGAAAAAGGCATACCAAGCTAATGAAAAAGGCAAGTCTTAACATTTGACAAATTAGCACTTTACACACCACGTGGGAAAGGGGATGTTCTAGGGAAGGCGGTAATTTCTAGTCTTCCGTCATAACTATCACTGCTCTGCATCACAGCGCAAACTGAGAGACAACTTTGAGGACTGCATGAAATACAAACATGCCGTATAAGGAAATTTTAAATCATGTTCTCTGAGCCATGACAGTGCAAATGCATAAAAGGTAAATATGTGGGAAATCAGAACACTGTATGTAGTGTAGATCCATATGTTGAAAATAAAAACAAAATTTAATTTGTTGTCCATCTGTGGAACCTTTCTGAAAGTGATTATATTGGACTGTCAAGGAAAATAAAAACTTAAACCCTAAAGGCAGGTTCTCTGATATAACGACATGGTTAACTAGCAAACAAAACTTGGAGTCTGGAGAGATGGATCAGTGGGTAAAAGTGTTTGTCATGCATTCATGAGGACCTGAGTTCAAATCCCCAGAACCCACGTGAAAAGCAAGACACATTAGTTTGAGCACCTATAATCCTAGTGCTCCTGCTTGGCGATGGGAAATGGAGACGGAGTCTCTAGGAATTTGCAAGGCAGGTAGCACGGCACACAAAGGAGAAAATCTACAGACACGCATCTCACGGACACTAGGACTGATACTCAAGGTTATCTTTTCACCTCTGCTTGTGCAGAGTGTGCATACATGAATGCACACGCACACACATGCTGTACATACAAGTATGTGCAGATGTGTGCATGCACACACCGACACACATAAAACTGTTGAGATAAGAAAAGAGTCTCACTAGCTATAAAAAAGAAGAAAAACAAAAAAGCTAAGCAGCTGGAAAGAGGTAATCAAACCTGAAGGTAGCACTTTCCCCACGGAACCTTCTTCCCAGACCCCAGTGAGATTTATTAGTCTAGAGAACAGGCCCGGTATGATCTTGAGAGTCTTTAAAAGGAACAGGCAAAAGAGTGAACAACTCGATTAGCTAGTGCTCTCTTTCAAGACAGAAATGAAGAGGTGTGGATCATCTGTAGAAGGAACTAGACTGTCCCTAGAGCCTCCCAGAGAAGATGACTTTATTTCCATTGTAACCCATTCCACATCCTCCAGAATTGTAGTAGAATAAAAACTGTGTGGTATTGAGTCACTAAGGTTATAATACTTTGTTGCAGCAACAGTAGAAACTTTTCTCTGATCTAATTTTCTTTTGTCTGCTGGGTACAGTGGGCAGTGATACCCTAGATGATAGTTGAGCCACAATGTGGAAGGATCCTGGGCCTCTCATTCAACAAGCAATGCAAAGGTATCCACTGAGTATGAACCCAAGCCCTGAACTCCTATGTAAGAAATAGACTCTGTTATGGTTGAACCACAACATGTTACAAACTTATACTAAAAGAATAATAGCTGGGTCCCAAGAATAGTTAATTTAAAAAGCAAAAAAAAATCTATACTAATTATTATCATCCACCATTAGCACTGAGTGAAAACAAACTCTCAGACTTATAAATTATGGATAATTTTTTTTGAAGAGGAGATGAGAATTTTTCCATAACAGTCCCCAAACATGGAAACATTTTCGGTTACCAAAATTCAATCAAATATTAAAATTCTTGAGCAGTTTTCCACCAGCTGGATTTAGATTTGGCACTCAATTCTGGTTATGGATGGTTTTCTGGTATTGACTCTACTATGCTCAGGTACTAATACTATTAGTACAGGACAGGAAATGACATTTAAATGAGCATGCTTCTTTTATGTGTATTTAACTACAAGCAGAAATAATGTCTTCATTAATATTTATTTCTAGCATTATATACAACGTGGTTTCGGGACTTACATGTGCCACCACATACAGGACCATATTGGTTATTTTTAAAAGTATTTTTGATGTGCTGTCAGTGTGAAGCTCATCTTTGCGAAAGAACTGGCCAGCGTTCATTTCTATCTTTGGTGTGTGAAAGGGTAGCCCGCTCCTTGAGGACTGTATGCTTGCACACTCCCTGCTGACATTGGTTTTGTTGACCCACTGTCCCAAGTGTTGAGCCTGAGAGGAGACTTCGGTTTGCTGAAATATTCTGTAACAGGTATCTTCATCTCGTTTTTTCTTATGAGCAATGGAGTCTCAGCCCCTGAAATAGAAAAAAAAAATGTAAATAAGACTAAAATCGAGAGACTGAATATAGCTTCAGCCTTGTTTTTATTAGTGAGTGGGGTTCAAAAGCAAAACAGACATAAAGGTTAATTAATCAAAAAACACTCAAAAGTCATAACAGACTCGATTGGTCTTTACCGTGTTCACCCTCAGTGAGATGTCTGTGTTAGCATACATGATCTGTTTTCTCGCTCTTAGAGGTGATGGTGGGCATGGTTTAGAGTTGTTGATGTGTGAGGGTGTTGGGGCAGAGACTGGGCCAGTGAGATGAGGAGCTGTTATCCCGACAGGTAAAGCAAGAGAACAGACACACATCTTAGAGCGATTTAACTGCACTCCTGAGACCTTTCCAAAGCCCACACCGTCACTCCTAGCCAGGAGCAGGTTTGGAGATGCTGAATGTCAACTGTGGAAAGAAACAGTGCCATCTGGAGATTGCTGTTTAAAAGTCTGTGCATCTCGGCAGGGCAAGTCTATGTGTGGGCCACTAGTAAGACTCGTGGGTGAATAGAACTGTCATGTACTAACTGTCACCCTAGAGTGAGGCGCCTGGTGGCAGAGGCCAGGTGGAGAGGGCCATCCTTGGAGCAAGAGGCAGGATATGCTTTCCAGTCTCCAGTACATTGTTAACATACAGAGCCACTTTGGGGTCTAGTGAGCTCCACGGGAAAGTGACAATATCTAGAGGGACCCTAAGGAATTCTAATTGATGAAGCCCTCATTTCTGGTTAAGGGGGATGTGGAGAAACAAGGTAGATTTTGTATTTGAGGTATGCAGATATACGGACAATCGCCCTTCAGTCATTGATGCAGTTCTTGCTTTAAGGCTGGGAGCTGCAAGCCTGCAGAGTGCCTACTGTTGGACTATCCAGGACCAGTGTGGGCTTTCTACAACCATCGAGTCTCTCTGGTGGAAACTGCAGGCTGGTACTGGGCTTCTGATTGGGGGCACACCGGTTTTCAGCTGCCTCATAGGGGACCTGTTTGTGATGGCTTCAGTCGTATTCTATTCTGCTTGGCTTACTTTACAGCAGAATCATTTAGGTCCATGACAGTTAAGCTGAGCAGAGTAAACCAGGGGAGTCACCCACTGTCTGTGTTGGGTCAGCCATCCTTTACAATGAATGGGTGTGACTACCTGCAGCCCTTACTGTCTGACTGTTGCTTGGCAGAGTGCTTGGTCCCAAAGACAGTTCTGTCAGATTTACCTTACACAAAATTGAGCAGACAGGCTTTAGAGGAGCGGGGCTGAAAGCCACTCTTAAACCTCAGGGATTGCCCTTGGAAAGCCAAGATTCTTAGCACCCATGCCCCTAAGTAGTAGGTACCTACTGATTTCCTTAGACCACCTGAAAACCATGACAAACTGTACTTAACCTTGTGATACCGCCTTATTGCCTTCGGATCCTTGGCTTGACGTTCTAAATCAATTGGAGAAAGAAAAAGAATTTGAGTGATAGCAACAGACTAGGGCATCAGCAAGCAATAGTGTCTATGTAGTCCAGGATAGCTTTAAATTTTGAATTATTTGCTGTAAATTTGCATAACTCCTGTTCCAGTCTCCTCAGTGCTGAGATTACAGATGTTTACTACCACACCCAGCTGTTTGTTAAAATTGCATGGTTTAAGAAATACTGCTTCTAAAACAATTTCCAAATGGCTTAGTGATTTATTTTTATTTTCATTGCTTCACATTAAAATTCATAACTATATAATACTAGCATCTAACAAAATATGCATAATACTAATAATAGTTTCAGTCTCCTTTGTGGTTTGCATGTTTAAACTTTTTTAAAGCCCTTGGGACTAGGAAGATGGCTCAATGGTTAAGAAAACATACAGTTCTTGTGGAGGACCCAAGTTTGGTTCCCAGCACCAAGAGGTTCACAACTTCCCATTACTGTGCTATAGGGGCATCTGATGCCCTCTTCTGGTCACTATGGGTACTGCACTCTTACACACACACACACACACACACACACTTAAAAATAACCTTATTTTCTTAGATTTTTAGATATCTAGCCTTACTTTGCCATTAGCAGAAAGGGAATTTGCTTCAAAATAGAAAGATTATTTATTAGCCAAAGAACACAGCCTCTGCTAAAATGTTCTGAACAGTGGAACCGGAGTACAACTTTGTTATGACGTGTGAAAATGAAAGAAAGCTATTACATGTGTGCAGCCACTCACTAGATAGAGTTGAGACTTAAAACCTCAGCATGATTAGCAGTGGAAAGAGGAAGCAAGAAAGTGGGATGTTTCTATGTACAGAGGAACCCTGGATGGCCTCCATATTCAAGTCACCTGGGTGGCTGATATCCTTCTCTTGCTCTGGTCAGCACTTTGGATTTTGCAGGTGAAGTTTGTATCGATTTGGTTGTGGTGGGCGTTGCAGCTCCGGGCAGCTTCCTGGGCTCTGATGCCAGTTCTGCTGGGGTAGTTCTTCTGTGACGAGTCAACAGGTTAATCTCGGCTAGTTCAGAATGAACCAAAGCCGACACCCACTCCTTTTCTGATTTGGAAAAAGGTTGAGAGCATGAAAGTTACTATTGTCATATTGACTAGAAGTGCAGGTTTCGGTATGGCAATGTCATACATTTATGGCATTTCAATTGTTCTTTTTCACCCCCTTCCCTTCCCATCTCTCCTGCCTACCTTTTGCTGGTTCGCTGTGCTCTATGCATAGATGCACTGTGTCCACACCCCCCACGCCCCCCACAAATATACACACATGCATACATTGACAAAAGAAGATGTTATTACTTGGGTAATTTATTAAACATCACATTCTTTTACTACCCTTCCCCCTCCCCATAGAAAATTGCTCCCAAGGACTTTGCAGTTAGAAAGTAGCCTTGAGCTCTATGGCAAGGTGCTAGTTTTCCAAAGTACTCCTCATTCTCAGAGAGTGCTCCCCAGACCAGTGTCACCCATCAGCATCACCTGGGATTGTGTTACAAACGCAGATTCTTGGGGCCCGTGTAGGTGGTTATAGCTCAGTTTGATGATCAGCCAGTGTGAGGACAGCTGCTATGTGCTGTATGGATTTCCCTGCAATGGTGTTGGTATTTTCATGACACATACCAGGGACAGCCCAAGAGATACCAGGTGTTAGCCAAGATTAAACCATCATAGCTATTGGGAGTCTAAAACATGGACGGCCGTGCTGATACCATCCACACAAAAGGAGAGAAGCCAGTATGTGTTCCGATTTCACAACTAGAGGATGTGTTCATGGGAAGCCCTGGGGTAAGAAACATGGAGGAGATGCAGAAACCACCCTTAGCTGAGAACTCATGTTTCCTATTAGTTTAATGAGCTCAGTTTGAGATACCCTCCACTGTTTGATTACCTGAATGGCCAGCACACACGCAGGTAGGTATACGAGCTTACAGAGGACTCTGGTAAGGAACTCTGGGCAAATAATTTTGCAATGTTTATTTTCAAACCCCAGGTAGGAAGCTTCAGTTTGGCACATTCATCATCTCTGACGATAACCCCAGGTCAGTGCCTGCAAATGCCCCTTGTAACCTTACCTTTGGTACGTGCATGAAGCAGCCATTGCAGGACTTCTGCCAGCGAATCGGTATGTAAAATGTCACAGAGCTTTGCCAGGATCTGACGGGGAAGACACAGTGAGGAAGTAAATGGCACCAGATTCACCAGGTTTCCTTGCCTCTCTTTAGAAATGCCACCCTGGAGACATGATACTTGGGTCGGTTGGGGTCTAGCTTGAGAGCTACCCTTTCAAACAGTGCAGAGGGGAGCCAGTGAGAAACACCCCCAGTTCAAGTGTGTTTGTTGTTCGCCATGCTGTGTCAATTCTAAGAGGTTAGGAGCAGCTCACTTCAGGGAATGGACCTCTCCCTCATGCAGGCTTCTGGGGGCCGAAAGAGGAAACTGCTAGTCACAGACAGAGGTCATGCATCTGGCTGCTCTCTCCTTAGTGTGGCTAAGGATGTCGCTTGAGCTGGGTGGTGTCTCAATTCTTTGAATCCAGTGTTGGGCCCATTGAGACAGGAACTTAAGTCCCTTCAGTCAGTGAGAAACCATACTTGACTCAGTCAGTGAGAATCCATACTTGAGGTTGTGGGAGGGGATTTTGTGTTTTGTGTGTTGGCCTTTTTTTTTTTTTTTTTTTTTTTTGCTTTTCCCTGAAGCTACAGGTCTTTCCTTCTGACATTGTCCTTCCCTTTTGAAGAAGCACCGGAAGATGAGAGTTTTTGTCCTTTAGACACTTTATGGGTGGTGTTCCATGGTTGTGGTCGTGCAGGATTCTACTAAAAAGTCCTTAGTCATCATAGTCATGGGTTTTGATGCTTGGAAGCAATTTTCCCTGAGTTTATCTTTCTTAGGTTTAAGTTTCTGTCAACTTTAGAAGAATGTTAACTACCATCTCTCCCCATAATTTCTACGCTCTAATCTCTACTACTTCTGAGACCCCAGTTACAGGATATTAGAATACTCACTATATTCTCACAGGTGAATAGGCTTGTTTATATTTTTATATCTACTTTAGGTAGTTTTTATTGTGTGGGTATGCAAGCATGCGGGCACATGCGTGCACATGCATGCACGTGTATGTGGAAGGCAGCGGTTGACATTGGGTGTTTCCCTGAGTCACTCTCCCCAGCTGTAGGATTATGCTAACTCCATTCTTCAGGCGTGAAATTTCTGGATCTCATCTGAACTGCTGGTGTATTAAGCCTCTCTCTGCACTCTGCTGTGTGTGAATGACAGCCAGAAGCTCCCGAGACTCATTCACTCTTCTCTCCTGGACCTCTGCAGTCTGCTCTGTGCATGCAAAGGTTAACATCGCACCGAAGCCTCAGTGGGGCCCCGTGCGTTCTTCCGGAACTTGCTCTCCACATAGATGCTTCTTCAGCTCCCTACTCTACACATCCCAGCCGCCTCAGCGTCCCCAAACTGTAACCCGTTTTCCCTGTAGGGAAGCCCACTGCTCTATTGCTGTCACTTCCCTGTCCCGTGGTTAGGAAAGGGCCCAGCAGAAGCCTGCGTTGAATGGTAATTATCCAGTTTCACAGTCATGAAGCTGTATTGTCTGTTGCCAAATACCTAAAAACAGCTTATTTATATACTCATAAATCCTAAGTGAATCTATGATTTTATCGTCTATTATCTATCAGTGTCACCCACCTGTGCCATTGCGGTTCACTATCCTCTGTGTGTGTGTGTGTGATGTGTGTGCATGTGCGTGCACCTGCTGTTTCCAAGCCTCTTACTTTTATCTCCTGATCCAGATAGTTTGGTATGCACACAGTGTTTTCATTCCCATCAGTCTTGGTGTTCATCACTTTTGAGGACTGGGAGCCAGCAACAGAGCTGATCCTTGGAGGCACTAGTGGCTTTTGGGCTTTCAATTCATCCTAAATCAAAGATATAGTACGATTGATTGGCATGCAGTTTTGCACTTGTAATTTCTATATAAATGAGAAGCATTTACCTTTGCTTACATTTTAATTGAACCCCCCCCCCGTGTGTGTGTGTGTGAGAGTTGGCATGCACACGAGCGCAGTATGGTACATGTGTTGTCTCAGGCCAACTTTAAGGATTCAGTTTATGCCTTCTATCATGTGAGTCCTGGATGTCTGCACAGGTCATTGGGCTTGACAGCAAGTGCCTTTACATGTGGAACCGTCTCACAGCTAGAGAAACTGTTGTCTTTAATAAGAGAACCATACAAGCAAAACCGATGTTAATAATTTAAATAAGTTTAAACATTTGGGGGCAAAGCCGATAGTGACATATTATTGGCTTTTGCTGAAATCATTTAAAGCCCTTGATGAACTCAAAATAATCATATAAATGCTGGATGTGAAGTGCTCTTGTATGTTGTTGCTCCAGGCAGCAATCAGCTCCTATTACGTGAGTTTTGTGTTGCGCTGGGAAGATTTCCCCTTATCACCCGGAAGCCAGTTGAGAAGATTTGTGTTGTGTCTGCAAAGATACTTCATTGTGTGAGCTGTGCTTCCTTGCTCTGCTGAAAGCTGGGGACTTGGAATTTGAACTAATTTTCTTCTCCTCAAAGGAATAGGAAATACAAAGGCCTGTGGTAGGGTGGGCTGGAGATACAGTCTGTAGTTAAAGCAGTGGCAACAACCACAAAAGAGAATGGAGACTTTGTGTCCAAAGATCTATGGAAGCTTTAGATCTCAGGGCCTGTTCCCGGAAGGTCTTTCTAACTTCCTTCAGCTGAGGCTTGACCCACCCACCAAGCTAATGAGGAAAGGAGTCCACCTGGGCTTTAGATGGCCAGAACATAGAAGAGCAGTTAACTGTATTAGTAACCTGAAAAAAATCATAAGATAATCTCAAATACAGGAAAATTGCTTGGCAAAATTTATCCTCCATGTCTGACAAAGCACTAGAAATAGAAGGAAGCTGCCTGAGTCATGTACGGGCATCTGAACAGAGAGAACCAACACTGTACTTTAGGCTGAAAGTCTGAATGCTCCCTCTCATGAGCATCAAGAACAAGGCTGCCGACCCTCCTGTTTCTAGTTAACACTGAACCAGAGGTTTGGCCATCACAGGGAAGCACACCAGATACAGGCAGTGTGCAAATTTGAAAATATAATAGAAAAATTAGAAATTTAAGCCTTACCAAAATAACTTGAAACAAAAAAAGCAAGGTTCAGATTTAAAGAAAACATCTGCAAAACACATGTGGCAAAAGATTTATATAGACTATGTAGGAAGCTTTCATATCACAATTACAAAAAAGCCAATAACTCAACTTCAGAGACAGGCAAGAGATCTGAACATCCACATCCCATAAAAGGTCACGTAAATGACAGGGAAGAAGAGGGAAGCAGTCTTCTGATGGGAGCTGCTATTCTGTATGTTTCTCTTAATGGTTGATGAATGAAACACTGATTGGCCAGGCAAGAAGATAGGCGGGGCTAGGAGACAAGGAGAATTCTGGGAAGTGTAGGCAGAGATGAGTCACGATGTGAGCCTGGGAAGACAGGATGTACAAGGCATTCTCTAGTAAGCAAAGACCATGCAACAATGCATAGATTAGTAGTTATGGGTTAATGATAAAGACAGAGCTAGCCAAAAAGAAGCCCAAGACACCAGCCAACGGTTTCATAATTAACATAAGTCTTTGTGTGTTTATTTGGGGCTGACATGGCTATGGGACCAGGCTGGCAGGAAAGAGTTACAGTCGTCTTCATCAGTTGTGAGAAAAAAGTCAAAACTAAAACCACACAAGGAACACTTTACTAGACCCCTGGGTTAGCCTTGTTTGTTTGTTTGTTGTTTGAAGATAGTAGTCATACTTCAGCCTCCTTTGTGCTAGGATGGCAAACTGCAACTACACTTCTATTAGCTAAACACTGAAACCAATCACTTGCATTTCAGGAAGTGAAGGACAGGGAAGCAGAACACAACTTGGCCATTCCTTTAAGACATCGACACAAGAGCACTGTGAGCGTCAGTTGTTGTACGTGCAGGGATTGGCTGGGAGGGAAGCAGGTGTGGAAGTGCACTTGCGTGTGAGTGTTCGTCTTAGCTTTGTGAAAAGGCAGACATGACAGATGTCCTCCAACAGCCACCTGGGTTCACGACTGTGGGCAGAGAAACCCAAGTCCCTTGGTATTAAGAAGAATCACCATAGCAACATGGGTGGATCTTAGAAAACTCTGTACTGCTGAGTGAAAGCAGCCTTTAGTGACACAAAGCAGACCATCATTTGTCTTTGGTGGGAGGGTGGGGCTCATGAGGAAACCCAGGGAGCTGGTAGACATGTGCTTGCTCTAGACTTTGGTATTGCTTCGCCAAGGGATGAAGATGTACTTGTCAAGACCCATCACATTGTGCATTGGGGATAGAAATATCTTATATCAGAAAGCTATACTTTAATAAAGCTGTGAAAATACTGTGGAAGAGACTTCTCAGAAGAGCTGTAAAACAGAGTAAGTTCTAGAAGTCAAGAGCCAGCTGTAGGAAGCAGGGACTGGAAGTCACTCAGCCAGCTGTAGGCAGCTGTTCATTTACCTTCTTAATAACTAAGGGATTCTCGCGGGAAGTCTTGAAGCATTCACTGACATTTCTACATGGCTCTGAAAGAAATTAAAGGAGTATATTGAAATCATATCAAAGGAATGTCGATACATGTTGCATGTATTAGTTGCTGAAATAAACTAGTCTTTCGAACTTAAGATTAGCCTAGGCCTATGTGTGCAAATGCAGGAACTTGTGACAGAAAACTGTGGTATAATAACATTATGCGAGTGCATTTATACTTTTTAAAAACACTGGTTCTAGTCCCAGCATGATAAAATGAAGACATATTGCAAGCTAGCTTGCCTGCCTGCCTCCCTCCCTCTGTCCCTCCCTCCCTTCCTCCCTTCTTCCCTCCATATCTTCCCCCTCTCCCATCTCAGTCTCACACCACTACCCAGGCTGGCCTGTGATCCCACTCAGCTCCCAAGTAAGGATTGGGAGTCTCTTCCAGCAGCTCTGCCTACTTTACTTTCTTGATCCAGGTAAGCTGATTGTAAAAGTTAAATCTTACTGTACGTGTCTTATCCATGTGTCTGTCACTTCTGTATAGTAGACAATTTGTGTGTTTTGTTTGTCCCAAAGACAGAAGATTTGCACTGAGTTGCAATTTTTTTTATTTGTTTCTCAGCCTTAAATCCCTCTTGGGCTGACATCATCCACAGCTTTGCTTGGCTTCCTCTCTATTTAATGAAGGTATGTCCTCTCGAAGCCATGCTCCTTTACCAAAGCTATAGCCATGCACCTTTCTAGTAAACATTGTGTGTGTGTGTGTGTGTGTGTGTGTATGTGCGTGTGTGCAGAATCCCCATAGTAGCTAATTCATCAGTTGTGTCTGAAGAAAGATTGTTTACCTTCCGGTACTGAACACAGTGTTGTGGCTGATGACCATGTTCAGGTACTAACAGAGTGTTACGGCCAGTGACCACGTTCAGTTAGTGGTGCCATGCTGGGAAAGAAACTAGTCTGTTTTAAGAAAAAATTAATAGTATGGGGAACTGAGTGTGTGTAATTGCATTGGGAGGACTGGGGTGTGAACATTTGTCTTGAGGTCTAGAAATCAGTGACAGCCTGACTCAACCTTTAGTCACCTAGGAGGAAGCTCTCACTGAGGAATTATCTAACTCAGGTTGGCTGTGGGCATGTCTTAGAGGGACTGTCCTGTCTGACTTCATTGGTGTGAGGAGACCCAGCCTGCGAGTGGGAATACCCATTCCCTGTTTGGGTCACTGAGCTCTCACAGTAAAGTCGTCTAGCTGAGCACTAGCTACACATTCTCTTTGCTCTTGACTCTGGGTGTTATGTGACCAGTTGTCTCAAGTTCTTGCTGCCTTGATTGTCCCACAGTGATGGAATGTAACCAAGAATTGTGACCTAGAGCAAACCCTTTCTCCCCTAAGTTGCTTTTTGTCAGAGAATTTCCTCACAGCAATTAAATAAAACGAGGACAGGAATTGGTACCAAGGGAGTGAGGTCATTACTGTCATAAAACTCTGTTGGGGGCTAGAGAGATGATGGTTCTGTGGATAAGGGTCCTAGATGCTCTTGAAGAGGGCCTGGGCTCAGTTCCAGCATGCACCTGGAATTCCAGTTTCAGAGGATTCGATGCCCTCTTTTGACCCCTTTTGGCACTAGGCACACATGTGATGCACATATATGCCTGCAGGCAAAACATTCATACATACAAAATAGAATAAATCTGAAAACAAAAGTTTAAATGGAGTGTTGCTTTTATACTTTTGGACGACTTTGTTGGAAGGATGTGAAAACTTTTGATATATTGATGATCTAGAAGAGCCATTGCATGCTACAAACAGTTCGATGGATCAAATCTAGTGGGATCTTGGAAGACAGTAAGCGTCTATTAACTTATTTAGTCAAGGACTAAAGACTGGGCACCGCATGTGGGTCACAGGGAAAAGTAGGAGCGTCGTGAGCAGAGCAGGTGAGAGTCTATGGGGAAGATGAGCACATAGTTCCATCCCCATTGTGTTTACGGAACCCACCTTTTGTCTGTTGTCTCCTATCAACGTTGCCTTGTCACTCATACCTGATATCTCTTAGCATGTTTGTTAGGTTTTTCTGATCACAAATACCTGCCAGAAGCATATTAGAGGGGAAAGGCTCATTGCGGCTCAGGTTTGAGGATGTACAGTCCATCTTTGTAGGGAAGGCTTGGGGCGGGGGGGGAGGAGTGGGACAGCTGGAAGTCAGGAAGCAGAGGGGATAGATGTCCGTGCTCCGCTGGCTTCTTTCTTCTTTCCCTGCTTTTGTTTAGTCTGAGACCTCTGGTGTATGAACGGTGCCATCCACATCGCCTTCATTCACCTTCTCCAGAAACATCTTCCTCAACACACCCAGGGGTGTGTTTCCAGGCTATTTTAAATCCAGTGGAGAGTTGACTTTGAAATCTGCTATCACACATGCTTTTCTATGGATGGACACTACACCAAATATATCAAAAAATAACAGTGTTTGCTAATAGTACCTTACTGAACTGTTTTCAGAGGAATGTAAATTGTCTACAGTGAATAACCCGTCACTGCATCGATTTAAGCAATCTGAGTTCTTCCCAATTATTTGCAAGAGGCCTAAGAACATATTCCATTTCTTTATAGGGACTCACCAGACTGAGGTCTCGAGGGAACTTTGTTTCGGACCGGTGACAGCTCTCGGGGTGGCCTCTCCAGGGCTGCGGTTGGTGGTGGGTTACTGGATTTGGCTAAAGGTGTCTCGTTCCTCTCTAAGAGGCTAAAGGGTCCAGGGCCACTCAGCATTCTAAATGGGACCTCATCATCATTCACAGTGCAGATTGGGATGTTGTTCAAACCTGGAAGAACAAGGACAACCATTTACTTGTTTGCTGACCAGCCTGTCCAGAACACACCCACCACTTACTGTCTCCTAATGCTCTTAGACTCCCACCACACTTACCATGAGTCCTAGTAAATGTTTGTAAACTGCTTGTCAGAGCTGTGCTAGGAAGTGAGCCTTGTGGATAGGGGTTTTGCCAGAGTTGTTTACTGTCTCTTGCTGGTACCCACTTGGGTGCCTGGCAGAAAGCCGGCAAGCTATGATGATTGAATGAACGGCTGGATAATACAACCACATATAAGGGTCTTGTTTGGTTAACTACTTCATACTTTACTAACAGTAACTTTCTATATAGAAATGAGGATTCTTGAAGACACTATCAGATGTTATTATTATGCTTTAAACCCTAGAGTAGTGATTGTCCCAGGTACATAGGAAAGAATTGCACAGCAAACGAAGTATGGGTAATCTTACACACAAATACATGTATTGAAAGTCCTAATTTCTCTTTTAGTTAGGTTTTTAGAAAGAAAGCATGTGGTATGTGGATTGTGCATGTTGGAGGACTTCATGGGAGAACAGACCGCTCCATTCTTACCTTGTCCCTTATTATTGCTTCACACATTTCCCACATGCACACGCAAATGTGTACCATGGTAATCTCATCCCAGGGAAATAATAGGGAGGAATTCCGAGCTCATCTGTTCAAGAGCAGCAAATACACCAGTGTGACAGTGGTTTGAAAGACCAATGAAACGTTACATGACCGACAGCTTGTCCATGAAAGGCGGGTTCAGTCTAGCAGTGAAAGAAGACTCATCCTCCAGCCTAGCAAAAGGGTCAGGAATGGAGCTGGGCTCCAGAGAGACCAGTGTCCACTTTGGGGAGTCGAGGTCCTGCTGCTGAAGTTAAAAAGGCTCCGTCATCAGAGAGCCAAAGGCCCTGTCCCCACAGCCCTTAGTCTTCGATTGATACCCCATCTCAGTTTGATGGGAGAGTGGGTGTTTGCTTGCTTGCTTTGTGTTCATTTTGTCCAGGGTAACTGTTTCCTTAGTGGATGACGGTCCTTTCACAGTTAGGAAGGTTAAAATTACAGAGATGATTAACTAAGAAAATGCCTACTATTCATCCTAGTTTGCTTTTCCAATGCTGTAGTAAAAGGTCATAACTGGAGACTTGGGGGAGGAGAGGTTTGTTTGGCTGACATGACTGTTGACACTTAGGACTCTGTCTGACGCCCATTTAGCCGAAGGGTGCTCACATGCATAGCGCCACCCAATGCCTGACTGATGGAAGTCACAGTGGCCGAGTCTTAACCTGCAGTTGAGAACCCTGCCAAAGGCCACCCCGCCCTACTGTCACCCTAGTGTGCTCTGTGTGGCACTTTACTTTCTCCCTCTTGCTTAACTCTGGTTCCTTTGTTTCTTTCGTAGGTGTTACTCCACGAAGCATGCCCAAATGGAGCTTCTCGACACAACTTTTTAGCTTAGAATCCTCGGAGCCTAATTTAAGAAAACGTCTCTAGAGGAAAACAGGGTACTGTGGCAAAATATCACATGAGCGTCTGGATTGAGAATGTGGGGCCTAGAGCTTCCCTCTGAAGTGACGGAAGTGATGTTTAAACCAGTATCTGGAAGGTGAGAGATATCAATTAACGGTGTTTTCTGAATAGAGAAAGTAAGTGTGAAAGCCCAGAACTTGCAAAGGGCTTGTTATACCTTCAAGAAACTTGGGCATGCCCATAAAGTGTGTGCTTATGTGGGTGGATATGTGGGATGAGTTATAAAACAGAGCAGGCGTATCACAGGACTAGACAAAATTATCATCAATGCCTCTGAGAGATCTGAGCAAGATGTTTAAATATCCAAATTTACATTTGAAGTATGATTTTTGTGGCGGTTTCATGGAGAATTGATTGGATGACAGTAACTGATTTTTCTGGGTTTTGTTTGTTTGTTATTTTTGCATCATGACCATCCTGATTATGTTGGTCAGATTTGTCAAAATGAGGATAGTGGTAGCATTAGCAGTAGGATTTGCCTGGGGGTGTTGAGGCAGCCAGAATGTGGTAGGCTGAAGAGAGGCTCAGAGAAAATGGTTTGAGAACCCTGAGTACACACACATCTCTCCGGCTGTGATGCAATGTATGCTTCATAGCATGGTACACAGAGCTTCCTAAATGTGCTCAGCAGCCAGTGAACCCTTTCCTCCTCCCCATGCTCTGTACTTGGCATGTCTCCCTTCTGCGCCAAGTCCTGGTGCTCTCTTCTGTGTTGGTGCCTTTCTGCTCACCTCCCGTGTGCGTTCACTTAACCACCACGGCACCCTGGCCTTGTTGCCAGGCTCCGCCTGTGTAATCACTCCAAGTCAGTGTTTGTTAAGACATAACGAAGAAGCAAGGTGGCTCTAATAGGAATATGAGTCTCTAGGGGTGGATATGAAGGATGAGGGTTAGCCCACCAGCTGCGGTGGCTTTTATGCCACAGTTACCCAATCTGGACTGAACCGACTGGTTCACTCCGTCTGGTGCCAACCGTTTTGTTTGTTTTCTGTGTACTTCGTGATCTTGAGAAATCCACCTCATAAAGCCTTATCTCTCTCTCCAGCCCAGATATGTGTGGGAAGTATATGTGCTTTTGTTCTTCAGTACAAGGTGAGAGAATATACTAGCAATGTCTGGTTGCCAAGGGGATTGCTACAGAAAGATGAGAAAATGGAAAAGGAAGGAGAGGTAGGGAGGGAGGTGGCTAAGGAGGAAGAGAAGAGAGGAGGAAAGGAAGGAGATAAAATCATGCCCTTCAGTATGACTTGGTCAGTAGTAGAGGGCCCTGGGCTCCATACCCAGCATGTATGCCCATATATGTACATAAACACACTTCACTAGGGCTTATGCTTGTATCCTGGCAAGAGTGTCATGATGGCTGTTTTTGTTTGTCGGCTTGACTCCTTCTGAAATGAACTAAAACTCAAAAATGGCAGGGCACTCCCCTAAGGAATTTATTTTACTTAATCAGATCATTTGAAGTGGGAAGATCCACGTCTAATCCGGATCCACAAAGAAGACAACACACCTTTAATTCAGATCTTCGGAGGTAAGAGGACCCACTTGTGATCTGCGCCATGCCCTCTGCTGGAAGCTATGTAAAGGATATGGAAGAAGGAGGCTCTCCCTTTTTGCCTGCTTCTTCCCACCCTGGATGGCAAGTCCATTCCTTCACCGGCATTAGAGCTTATTTCTAAGAAGAGTCTGGTGTGTACTGAAGAGTAGGTGAGAAATCCAGCCTTGTGGACTGAATTGAACCTCCCATAGTAGAGATCCATTGTTGGATTAGCTTGACCATGGACTGTAAATCATTCAATAATTCTAATAAATCCCCTTTAGCTGGGTGGATGGGTGGAATGATGGATGGATAGATGGATGGATGGACGGATGGATGGATGGATGGGTGGATGGATGGATGGATGGGCAGATGGATGGATGGATGGATGGACGGACAGACAGATAGATTCTTTAAGTTCTGTTACTCTAGAGAACCCTAATACAGGTGTGAAGGTAGTTAAGATTTTAAAATATGTTTAAACCAGTTGGTTAATACCACCTTGAACTCTCCGAATGACTTCCCACCTCTGAGTACTTTGGTCCTTGGGTCACTGTCCCAACACAAGCAATCTATGGGCTAAGTCTGGCAGAGAAGGTACCCAAAGATATCATTAGGCACGAGGATCTGGCTTCCAGTATCTTAGCACCTGCCTTTACCAGTGGCTAAATACTTTAAGCAAAACTTAGAGATTGTGCACAGAGGAGAAAACTATCTGACCAGCAAAGTCCCATCACCTTTGATGTGGCAGACTCTTCTGGGATGAGGCGTGTGCCTGACTAGGAAGCAGCTTTCGTTCCTCGTCATCATGTGGCTGCCTTTGCCCTCCGAGTAAAGAGAAGATGCTGCGGATTTGAGGGTCGGGTTCATGGTCTGTCGGTTTCCCTCTCCACAGCTGACACAAGAGTTCTCGGGGCCTAACTTGATTGACTTCTTTCACAGATGGGCTGAGACCTGGAAATCACGGAATACTGTCATTCTGAGAAGAGATCCTAGACAGACGATTGTCTATCAAATATTTTCCATCTTTGCACTAAAACATCAAGTAAGCAAATGTCAAATCAAACTTTTATAAACTTTCCAGGCCTGAATGGGACATACGGTCTCCTGGAAAAACAATCAAAAGTACTTGTGAAAATGACCTGAATTTTACTTTTAATTGAGTTTAAGATCACTGTGGTCTTATAAGCAAATAATTTACATGATTATTTCTTCTAATGAGGTAAATTTAAATTGGGCTTTTAAAATGCTACATTTGCAAAAATGCTGTACATAAATAGCCTTATATAAGGAACTTTCATGAGGTATCTTTAAGAAACCTAGATTTTCAAGTTTATATCATCCTCCAAACAGATAATGACACCCAGGGGAGTAAAAAGATGAGGGAATCACACTAGACGTTCAGCTGGTGAGCTGGATGACATTTATTAGTTGTTTGCAACATCCAGTGATATAAAATGTTCTTTCAATCATTGCTCGACACCAATTCCATACCACAAATCTAGAATTTTAAAGATGTTATGGTTCTTGATTAACTCACAGCCAAGTTGGGGGGGTCTAGAACATTCTGAAAATAACATGCTATTCTTGGAGGTGGAGAGATGGTTCAGAGGTTAAAAGCACTAGCAGCTCGATCAGAGGACCAGGATTTGACTCCCAGCACCCATGTGGCGGCTCAAAAATCATCTGTAACTCCAGTCACTGGGGATCTGGTGCCCTCTTCAGGGTCTGCATGCACATGGCACACAGACATAAACCCAAGGAAAACATCCACACACATTAAATAAATAAATAAACAAACACATTTGATTTTAAATGATATGACATGCCACTCTTGGAATCTAAGAAAGACATTTTTGGTAGATGTAGTATATTTTCTATGTTGTATATAAATCTTACTCTTCATACCAGCATTGGCAAAGGAACATTTTTATTCCCCCCCCCATTTTTTCTGTTCAGAATAACATGTAGTACCAAATGGAACTTGAATTCAGGATGTTGTTGAGCATTTCTAGTTCATTGACATCTTTTATTTATTCATTTGTTTAGTAGCAGCAGCGTGTATGCTGTAGTGTGCGTATATGCAGGCCGGAGTGTGCAGGCTTTCACAAGTGGGTTCTTTCCATCCACCTTGGGTTAGAGGATCGATCTCACATCTTTAGGCTCATACAGCAAGTATTTCTACCCACTGAGCCATCTCACCAGTTCATATTGATATCTTTTTATACCATGGCAATCTCTTCAAGGTTTTCAGGGTATATTTTTCGAGTGCATGGTGTACAAATTATCAGCCATATTGACAGAAAGCATATGACTTTTAAGAATTTCATTTTGGAGTGTGTGTGTGTGTGTGTCTGTGAGTGTATGTGTCTGATGTGTCTGTGGGTGTATGTGTATGTCTCTGTGTGTATGTCTATATGTGTGTGTGTGTATGTGTCTGTCTATGGGTGTATATGCCTGTCTGTGTTTATGTGTGTATATATGTGTATGCATATGTGTGTGTATATGTGTATGTCTGTGTGTTTGTGTGTCTGTTTTAGTTAGCTGTAGCCATCAGCTTGACACAGCATAGAGTCACCTGAAAAAGGATGTCTCAAATAAGGGATTTCCCAGATCCAACTGACCTATTCGGACATATCTGCAGGAGATTGTCATGGCTGCTAATGTCATAGAAGGATTCAGCTCTATGGCTGGTACCATTCTCTGGTAGCTGCTCCTAGACTGTGTAAGAAAGCTAGCTAAACATGAGTGTCTTTGGGTTTCTGTCACTGTGGTAAGACACCATGACTAAAACAACTTGGGGAGGAAAGGTTTTATTTTAGTTGAAAACTCTCAGGTCATACTCCTTCATGAGGGTAGCCAGGGCAGCTACAGCAGGAGAGGAAACTGGAGGCAGGAACTGAAACAGAACCTGAGGAGGAATATGACTGATAGGCTTGCTCTTCCAGGCTTACCCAGCCTGTTTTTTATACATCCTAGAGCCACCTGCTCAAGGGTGGCCCCACCCAGAGTGAATGGGCTCTCCCATATCATTTACTAAGAAAGCACCCTGCAGAGGCGTTTTCTCACTTGGAGTTTTCCTTCTCTCAGATGACTCTAAGTTGCATCAGGTCGACATAAAACTATCTAGCACAACAGGTCTGTGAGTGAGCCAGTAAGCAACATCCTCCATGGCTTCTGTTATGCGTATTTTGCCTATGAAGTGAGTTCCTTGATTGGAGACAATGCTGTCTGTAATGACAAGCAGGCCTGTCTCCAGGTTCCTGCTTGAGTTCTTGGCCTGGCTTCTCTCAATGGCAGACTCTGAGCCAAAAGCTGAAACAAGCCTGCCCTTCTCCCAAATTGCTTTTGGCCATGGGATTTGTTGCAGCAATAGAATGAAACCAGAACGGCATTCTAAAATTATTCTAGGTTAGGTAAGTTATACTTAAACATTAAATTTAGAAAGAAAATTACTTAACAGTAAGTGGTATATTTTGTTATTACCCTTTAGGAATAGCACAAGCAAAATTAATTCTAATCTGTTTGTACAGTCAAACTATAATTATTTTCCTGATTGATTGATTGATTGATATTTTTGAGACAGAGCTTCACTTTTAGCTCAGGCTGGCCTGGAATTGGCAATCCTCCTGAGGCCTCTGAGTGCTGGGATTCTGTCTACCACACCAGGCTTATAATCAAACTTTACATTTAATGTAGCAGATTTTCTTTTAAGCCACCAACCAGTTTTACCCCTCCCCCCCACTGCCTGGCTTCCGGCCTCAGGCATGTCCTTATCTTTCTTCATTTTTCTCTTTTCTTGAGCCTAGATTTCCTAGATTTCTCCCCCTACTTACTCTACTTGCCAGCCCCGCCTATTCCTCTCCTGCCTAACTATTGGCTGTTCAGCTTTCATTAGACCAATCAGGTGTCTCAGGCAGGCAAGGTAAAACAAATGTAACACATCTTTACATTGTCAATAAAGGCAACAGAAACAAATGTAACACACTTTACACAGTTAAAGTAATATTCTGCAGTATAAGCAAATGTAACCTATCTTTGCCTAGTTAAAATAGTCTTCCACAAAAACTTAATCTTCCTGTATGGGAAGCAAATAAGTCATATTTAACTTACAAGACAGAAGAGGCATACAAGCTGTGTAACAGGAAGGGCAGTAACCTGGAATGAAAATTGGGATCAACATAGACTAGTTGGTAGATTTCTTAGGTTCTTATTTATTGCTCTATAACCTGCTGGAACTGATTTAAATGTCAGTGGGAATATCTATCTAGCTTTTCTTCTTTATGCTCTGTCCCACATGAGTCCTCTTAGGTAAGCCCTGAAGGGACGTGATCCAGAGGGTTAGGGTATCACAGGCAAACCGGAGGGTGAAGCAGCTGCATTTCTCTTCAGAAGACCCTCGGTCGGGTCTGGGATTCATCCCACGCATTCTAAAGAGATGTTGTATGCTTGGTGTAAGAGAGTGTGGCCAGATGTCACGTCATGTGTGGTGAGTGAGAGTGAAGACAGCGTCTAAATATTTTGTTCAGATATACCACTAAAATTTTGTAAAATCTGAGCTGTCTGTGTAATCTTTGTGCCCCACAAAATTATTCTGTTGATATCGAGTCATCAGCAGGATGATGTTAGGAGATGGGACCTTTGGAAGGCTTTAGGGTCGAGAAGATGGAGTTCTTAAAGAATGAGGTGAGTGCCCTCTAAAAAAGCATCCCCGGAGCCATCTTATCATGTGAGGATGCACCGAGATGTGGTTCCTAAGTCAGGCTCTCACCAGCCTGTGAGTCTGCTTCCGGGGAGACTTCTCCACCTCCGGAAGCATCCGAAAATTATTCTCTGTTGTTACCCTCCCTGCTTATGGTATTTTGTTGTATCAGCTTAAATGGATTAGGATGGTGTTCTTGGACGTTTCAATTTAAATTAAATTTTTTATTTTTACAAATGCAGTTGATTGAGTAAAAAACTAAAGTTGTACTTTAGATCATTTAGCCAGTGAACTAATGAAAAAAAATCAAATCAGCTTAAACCAGAAGCAAAGCAAAGCCAGGCTCCTTGACCCTAATAATGGCCCCCATTTTTCTTCTCTACCTTGTGCTTATTCTGACTTCAACACTGGCAGATCACTCATTGCCTACTGTGTTTATTAAATCCCTTCCTGGAGTCCGTGAACTGGCTTGGAACATCACTTTCCTTTTAACGTTTCACATTACGGTGCCGGTTTGACACGTACACTAAAACTGGAATGATACAAAGTCTCACATTATGGCAGATAATGGGTTTGAACGGTGACGTCTTAAGAATTATACACTCACTAGAAATGAAGGCATTGTTTATCCTCGTATCACATACATCTAAAAGCAAGATTAACATAAAAAGAGCACACTTAAAATGTAAATCTATTGCTTTATGTGTAAGGTGTCTTCCTTGCCTGTATATATGTGTACTGTGTGCATGCAGTGTGGCAGAGGCCAGGAGGAGGAGGAGATCAGATCCCCTGGGACTGGAATCCCAGGCAGGTGTGAGCTACCATGCGAACCTTCGTCCTCTGGAAAAACAGCTAGGGTACCTAGCTGCTGAGCCACTTTTCCAGCTCCAGACATACTTTTTAAAGTAAGAGATTAATACAAGTGGAGACCAAGAAAGAAAGCTATTTACTTATTGGGTAAATATCTTGACTGAGGATCAGAAATGACATTTATGTCCAATAAAGAGACTAAATCTTGCTGAACTCAATATTAGAGACATTTGCTAGTACTAAATCGACTGATGTGTATCAGAAAGGAAATCCACAAGCAAAGTAATGATCACTTCTACACATAAGCCATGAGCTGGTTAATAAGTAACATAGAATCTCGTGATGCACAATTGTCGCAGGGTGGGGGTGGGGGTAGGGGTGGGGGTGGGGGTAGGGGTGGGGGTAGGGGTGAGGGTGGGGGAGTGAGTTAGGGAGCAGAAGGTACACACTCATTCCCAGTACTTCATAGGAATTTGCTGCTCTAGACAACAATTCCCAGTCTATTGCCCTACCATGATTTACATGTCGGAGGGTCATACAGAAGACGTGTTCCCATCACAGGAGCACATATCTCAAATCGTGGGGAAGCAAAATACTAAAAGCTACTGCAGTGTCAGTAACTGACACTCGCAAAAGTGGCACCCATGGGCTGTAGCTCCAGTCAGCTCAATCAAGTTAGCACAAGCAGTAGAGCGTGTTCTGGAACTTAACCTCCTTTTAAATCATGTCTATTTCAGCTATTCATATTAAACATCACAGCTCTATTTATATATTATAAAATCTGCCTGAGACTTCTTCACTTAGTGGATATGGAGGCTTGAAAGAAAATGCCCCCCCTAAAGGGAGTGGCACTATTAGGAGGTAGGTGTGGCTTTGTTGGAGTGGGTGTGTCACTGTGGAGGCGGGCTTTGAGATCTCATATGTGGTCCAGCCATACCCAGTGTCTTAGACCTCTTCCTATTGCTGTGCAAGACGTAGACCTCTCAGATAATTCTCCCGCTCCATGTCTGCCTGCACGATGCCAAGTCGCACCACGCTGATAATGGACCAAACCTCTGAAACTGTCAGCCAGCTGTAAGCAATTAAATCAGAGCTGCGGTGCTCACGCCGTCCCTTCACAGCAGTAGAAGCCCTAACTAAGACGGTGGTTATACCCACGAGATTTCCTGCTTGCACTCTATTTTGTGATTCTCCGGCTGTTGATCTTTGAAAAGGAGATGTGAAGCCTATGTGAGGGGAATTTAACTGCACTTTGCATTCTTCATTCCAAAAACTACAGCTGGGGAGATGACTCAGAGATTAAGAGCACTCGCTGCTCTTGCTGAGGACAAGGACTAGTTCAGGACCCACATTTGGCGCCTCAAAACCGTCTGTAACTCCAACTTCATGTGATCTAAAACCTCTGATTTCCACAGTGCTGTGTGCACGAGATGCTCACCTCTAAATCCGGGCAAAACTCATATACACCAGGTAAATAAATAAAGACATTTCAAAGCTGCTTAGGAAAAGCAAGTTTCCTTTCTTGTAGTCTCTCGAATCTAGCTATATGTTAGTAAAATTGTTGAATTTTATTTGGAATAAGGGAAATCCAATCCTCCAAAGGGATGGATGGAAAAGAACCGTTAATGCTATTCATAAACATGCCCTGACAATTTGCATAAAATATCGACAGTCTTAAGTTCAAAATCGTACATGCATAAAACATGGGCTGACAAAGAGAGCACACAGAGAAATGAGCAGCTGAAAGTTACTCGAGGTGGCCGCCTTGCTCAGCTGTTACTGAGGGCGTGAACCCCTCCCACTCTTCTACCCAGAATGCACTCCGCCGCTGCCCCGTGGTTCTTCCCGTTCTCGATTAATTTCTCTCGGTACGCACTTTGTCCAAAAGGTGTCCTAACCCCCTCCTTGCAGTAGTTGCCATGGTCACCCCAGCCTCTGTCAGTTTCTCTTTTCTTCTTTAAATCATTCTGCATAGCATCTGCCCCCCCCCACACCCTGCTTTTTGTTGTAAACGTTCACGTCTTCCCTGCTTCTTTCCACAGGGTGTCATCATCAGACATGCCTTGATCCAGCCCGGTTTTCCCTCTGTGTGCACACACCTGCTACATGGTGTGAACTCAGTAACTGTCGTTAAATGTGCTGGTGATTTTCCCCCAGAATATATGTCTCTAGTCTGTGACTAGTGCAGTGTTAGTAGTATGATCCCCTCAAAAATAAGTAACTAACTTTAAAAGATATCATCCTTTTCCTCAAAATTACTTACTTAGTTTTTGTACACCTTAAAAAGTATATTCGAAGGATATAAGTAAAACGTACCTGAAATGTTAACACATTATTCTAATGATGAATAGAAAATTATACCTGAGGACAGTTTTTAAAGCAGACAAATCAGGTCTGTTGATGCCCTTCCAACCTCATATTGGATCTATACTTAATATTTGTTATTTCCTTAAATCTCAGGAGTTTTTTTCTGGTGGAAACAGCTGCCTGTCTAATGCCTTCAAAAGAACACAGCTGTGTCCCCCCAAGTGTCTCCCACTCTCACTCCAAAGAGCCGAGGCGCCTCTCTGGTTGTTAGGTGATATCACACAGCCTAGCAACTGAGTAACATTCTGGGGAAATCAGAGTTCCAGAACCTTGCACCCAGCATGGCTCCCGGGGTCCTCTAGATACCACAGTTTCATTAACATAGCAAGGAACATCTCTTCCCGTTTTAGACGTACGGCAGAGGCGCTACGGACCTAAGAAAAGACGAAGAGCGCACAGTCACAGTGCTCAGCGAGCGAGCCTCACAGCTCTGTCTAGTGAATGCTGGCTATGTGACACAAACAGCTCCCTGAGCAGTGATGGTGCAGCAGAGGGGACGATGGGAAAGCCTCTCCACCATGGTGCATAAAGAATACTATTGATGTTCTGAGGGAAGGGGGGTCTGAGGAGGGCTGAGGGAAGGAGGAGGAGGAGTGTCTGAGGAAGGACGGGGCAGAGTGGAGGGGAGGGAGAAGATGGGAAAAGCATGGTGGAAAACATAAACAAAAACAAGGTTTCTCTAAAAACTCCGCGGTGAAATCTGTTGCTTTGTGTACATAATGAAAAATAATCAAGAAGAGAAAATCGGAATGGAGAAACTGGGCATGGTAACCCATGCTTCTTATCCCAATATTTGAGAGACTTACAGGACTTTCTGCGAGTTCAAAGTCAGCCTGGGCTACAGAGTAAACCCTTATCTTGAAAACAACAAAAACAGGCGGAATTTCCAGAATGCCTAATAAATTTATCAGTGGTGATTAGTGGATTTTAAAGCATTATCTGGGTCAATTAAAGACAAGAAATGCAGCTCTGGGTTCCTGAGTTATTTAGAAGCTTCATTTCAGCTCTCTTTATTGGTTACTGTCTGTGGAGCACCAGTGAGAAGTGTTAGGACCCACCCTGACTGGGAAAGGGAGAGACCTCCAGTCCAGCTTGTCCATGCAATGGCTGCCGACTCCCTCCCTCCTCCCTCCCTCCCTCCCTCCCTCCCTCCCTCCCTCCCTCCCTCCCTCCCTCCCTCCCTCCCTCCCCCTTCTCTCTCTGAGGACAAGCTTCCAGTTTGCTTGTTAGGACTCAATACGGAGCATTTCTGCACAGTTTGTCTCATTCTAAGAAGGGATTTTTCTTCACTGGGAGAAGAGCTGTTGTGCACACTTGGATTTAATCAACTTTCTCCTTCACTGTCCGTCCATACAAGACACGTCGCAGATACTGAGGAGTTAAAGTCACCGTTTGCTTTCACTTATGTGCGATGTGGCTAGAGAGGGTCGGGAGATGTCTCTGTTGGTACAGTGCTTGCCACACAAGCGTGAGGAAGTGGGTTCAGGTCCCCAGCACCCACATAAAAAGCCAGGCGCTCAAGAGCCTGCCTGAATCCCAGTGCTAGCATTAGAAGGGAGCATCCGGGTCTTGCTGGCCAGACAATGTAGACAATCTGTGAACTCTGGTTTCTGTGAGACAGGCATGGGCCGTGAGCCTTCTGGTCATCCCCTCTCTCTTTAGACTACATATCTGGAGCAAGTACACACATCTGTAGATTCGCCACACATTTTGGCTGCGTGGATCTGCCGTCTGAAGAAAGGAAAAAGTATAGCTTGACCAAAGTAGAATGATTTTTCTGTCCCTGATTTTTCAGGGAACTTAGTAAGAACTGGCTTAGAGGAATCTTTCTGTTTGTTTGTTTGTTCCCTTTATTAAAAAATTGAAGTGAAGAGTGATGAGGAAGATACCCAACACTGACCCCTGCCCTCAAAACGTGTGAACCCACCTCCCTGTGCGCACACACCCCCTCCACCCATGCACACTCAGAAGTGCACATGCACACAGGAAGGAAGTGTGTGACCAGAGAAAGAGGAAAGGTGAACTACCACTCATGCCTACTAAAAACCATAACTGCTTTCAAAGATGTAAGCCCATCTTCGCTTCATGATTGCAAGTGTCGGGTACACCACTAGGTGGCAGCAAGGGCTACAGTATGTGGCTATAACATGTCAGACTCCACTGTCCTGGGCTAGGGCAGGGAGGAGGCCGACCCTGCGGTGGCCGTTCAGTTCCATAGGTAATACACCTCTCAGAGACGAAGGCATCCGTGAGGGCTTATGTACAAGCCTGCCAGTAAGCTGCTGGGTCACCAGAGTTGATGGTCTCCACTCGTGGACAGACATTTGGAACGTGGGTGGCCTTTTCTTGGAATTTTCCTGCATGCTGTTTGGTTCCCTCTTTGTAGAGGTTGAGCTGTGAATGTTCACTCGCTGCAGCCCAGGATGAGCAGAGTGAACAAGTAGTTCCCACGAAAATGCCTTGCAGACCCAGAAGTGCTAGAGAAATCGGAGCTGACCTTTGACTCCTGACCCTGGGAAGGGCGAGGCTCGGTCGGTGTATAACAGGGGTCACTTAGAGACAGCTCTTTTTATGGGAGACTCTACAGATAATGGGTGGAATTCCCTCCCTGTGATAGCTTCATATTTCTTGAATGAGTGGATAGGTGGAGGGATAGATGGACGGACGGACGGATGAATCACAGGACAAGGGTGGAATGGTGAAGAGGGGTCAGGAAATGCTGACTGGAGCAGGGAGAGGCATGGGGCACGGGGATTTTCCAGGCAGTGACCAACACTGCACACCCAGCTCTCTTGGAGCCCGAGCTGCGGTAGCAGCCCTGAGTCCTGACACTGCAGAGCATGTGCAGGAGTCAGAGCATGGAGCATTTCCCAGGGAGGACGGGTTATTCACACCTGGAGGCAGGACCTGGGAGCAGGTTGAAGACACTACTCTCACTTCCAGGCAATGGCTGATAGCCCGCCCTGGTGAAAAGTGTTAGGTTTACAGATTCCAGCATTTGCTGTTTTTGAAGGTTGATAGGATTGGTCCTTTCCTGTCCATGGACCGGAGAAAAGCTACAGGGTAGAGCCGGGCCCAGGGTGGGTTCAGTGCTTGGCCTAATGTCTGACCCAGCTTGTATAGCAACAGTGCCCAAGAATCAGCTTCCCAAAGTTCCGGGGGACTCCAGAGGCCAAGCCTGGAGTCCGCAGCGGCAGCACAGAAGATAAACTAGCTCTGGCCTCCAGCAGAGACTCACTTCCCGGGAAAATGGCCCTGACCACTCTATATGCAGCCAGCCCGTGCCCTTCCCGTGCTCGGCTCATACAGTGTGTGAGCTTTCGGTGTTTCCACATGGCCTGATACGCCGCCCTGTGAAGACAGACTGCACAACCAAGCTGTCCATGTGTGCTCGGGCGGACGGACATTGTTTTCTGTGTCTTGGCACAACAGCATGGTGTTCATGTTCCTGTGTGTATTGTGTGTTTGTGTATGTATGTGTGTATATGTGTATTTGTGTATGTGTGTTTGTGTATTTGTATGTGTGTGTTTGTGTGTATGTATGTGTGTATATGTGTATTTGTGTGTGAGTTTGTGTATTTGTATGTGTGTGTTTGTATGTATATGTGTGTATGTATGTGTATTTATGTATGTGTGTTTGTGTATGCGTGTATGTTTGTGTGTATGTATGTATGTATGTGTGTGTATATATATGTGTTATGTGTGCATGTGTATTTATGTATGTGTGTTTGTGTATGTGTATTTATGTGTGTGTTTGTGTGTGTGTATGTGTATAATGTGTGTATATGTTTGTATGTGCGTATTTGTGTGTATATATATGTGTGTATATATGTGTGTATATGTGTGTATATGTGTTTATATGTATGTATGTGTATTTGTATGTATGTGTGTATATGTGTGTATATGTATGTGTTCATGTGTGTGTGTTTGTGTATTTATGTGTGTGTTTGTGTGTGTATATGTGTGTGTATGTGTGTAATGTGTGTATATATGTTTGTATATGTGTATGTATGTGTGTGTATTTGCATGTGTGTATGTGTGTTTGTGTATATATGTGTTGTATGTGTTTATATGTGTGTATATGTGTGTATGTGTATTTGTATATATGTGTGTATATGTATGTGTTCATGTGTGTGTTTGTGTATGTATGTACACATGCACACACTCATGCGTATAGAAGTCAAAGGTTGACTATGTGTTATTTCTCCAGTGCTATTCACCTTGTTTTGTTTTTTCTGTTTTTGAGATAGGGCCTCTCTATGGCTTGGAGCTCACTAATTTGGCTAGACTGGCATTCGAGTTAGCTCCAGGGACCCACCTCCTCAGCACTGATGTTACAAGCACAGACTGCCATGCTTAGATTTTTATGGGGGTACTAGAGCGTCAAACCCAAGTCCTTGCTCAGCAAGCTCTTTATCCACCAAGTCTTCCTTCAAGCTCCTTGGCATAACATCATTGTAATGTTAATTGAACAGTTTATATGCATGTATTCCCTTTACCTACCCCAACTGTCCCGGGAGCCTGGGACTACTGTAGCCTTATTTTACAGGTGAGGAGTTTACAGCCAGAGTCACAGAGGATTATAGTTAGGACCCAAACTCAGCGATATCAGAAACCAAGGCTCCTTCCTGTACAGCCATACCTTCTCCAGAACCCATGCTCATGTTAGTTCTGGTAGAAAAACCATGGACAAATTTGATTAACATAAGATCCTTAATCTACCAATAAAGCAAACTGGACCAACCTTAGGAACCGCTGCAGAAATATAGTGATTTTTGTCATGTTTAGTTCTAGCTGGAAATAAATGGCATCTTCAAGTTGAATCATTAAGAAATTGGTAGCTTATTTACAAGTCTCTGGACAAGACTTTAAGGGCCAGAGCAGGTGGGGTAGTGGCCTTCAAGAACACAACGTGAAGGAAGATGGGATTCATATTTTTAAATAATTTTTATAACATGATAACTCAAACATTATATATGCAATCATCTCTGGTTTCCTCCTTTAAAAGAACCATGTATGGAATGCGGCCCTGTCCACACATTGCCCACCAGTGGGGCATTTTCTGCCAGTGTCCTCCGTCCCCTGTGACTGCATGTGGATGTTGGCTGCTGAACAGGAAGTGGTTGTCGCACAGAAGTGGCAGTCTAGGGCTGCACAGGTGGCCCTGTTCTCATGGAAGTCATAAAGGAGCTTGACTTGGATACTGCCTGGGGGA